ACACCACTTGTCTGCCCTGCACCCCTTTTCCACAGGTTCCTAAACTCGGGGTCCATTCTGTCTTCATCCATCTAGTTTGGCCTGGCTGCTCATTGCACTTGTGAATTTGTGGGTCTGGCTTGGCAAAGTATTTGCAGTCCCTATTTTCCATGATGCTGATTATTTTGGGTCATGGCTTTGTGAAAGACCTGACCCAAAATCCTGCATCGTCACCTTCATTTCTCCTGCACGCTCCTGCAGCCTGCAGAGAGGTGACCCAAGGCCCTATGTGCCACGGTCAGGATGCACGCAGACCAGCCCTCCACCACCACCCTCCTGCCACCTCGCCGCACTCTGCAGGTCCCCTGACCTGGCTTCTGACTCCACAGCAGGACCTCTTAACTATATTCTCTGGGCTCTGGACCAGGCTCCACCCCACTGAGGAGCCCTGTCCCCATCTGCCACCTTGGCCATGTCACTGCCACAAAAATATTTTTTTTAATTTTATTTTAATCATTGTTCAAGTACAGTTTTCTGCCTTTTACTCCCATTCCAGCCCACCCACCCATCCCTCCCCACCTCCCTCCCATTTCCACCCTCCCCCTAGCTTTTGTCCATGTGTCCTTTAAATGTGTTCCTGTAAACCCTTCCCATTCTCCCCTGAAATTTCCTCCCCTCTCCCCTCTAGTCACTGTCAGCCTGTCCTCTATTTCAGTGTCTTTGACTATATTTTGCTTGTTTCTTTGTTTTGTTGTTTAGGTTCCTGTGAAAGGTGAGATCATATGGTATTAGTCTTTCACTGCCTGGCTTATTTCACTTAGCATAATGCTTTCCAGCTCCATCCAAGCTGTTGCAAAGGGTAGGAGCTCCTTCTTTCTTTCTGCTGCATAGAATTCCATTGTGTAAATGTACCATAGTTTTTTAATCCATTAATTTACTGATGGGCACCTAGGTTGCTTCCAGGACTTAGCTACTGTAAATTGTGTTGCTATGAACATTGAGATGCAAAGGTTCTTTTGTATTGGTGTTTTACAAAAATAATTTTTAAGAAATAATTTAGAAATGTAGTTGCCCACATTCAATTTAAACCAGCCACTGACAAAATAATTCCTTTACATATTTTACTCTCAAACTCTGCCACCTATATTCCTATGAATATCTTAGCCAAATGAATGTGGTTTATTTTTGTAATTATAAGGGAACTACAAGAATCTGCAGGCAACCTAGGTATGTGCCGTGACTGGGAATCAACCTGTAACCTTTCGGCTATGGAATGATGCTCGACCAACAGAGCCATAGCTGCCATGGCTAAAATGGTCTTTTTATAAAATTCACTTGGAGTCCTTTGGGTGCAGGTCAGATAACCCAATCTTACAGCATCTGAGGTACATAGTGGCACAAGGAAAAAAACCAAGAAAACTGGGTTCTATACCCAGCCCCACATCTAAACCTGGCTGTAAAACTTCGACAGGATTATTGCCTGCTGCGAGGGTAACACGGAAATGGAGGGACTGATATCTGTCCTCTGTAACTTATCAGATGGCAGTAAGAATTAAAATTTGCTTCTCAGTGAAACACAGTGGCCTCTGGCAAGAAAATTTACCACCAGGAAAGGGATGGTACCAGCAGTTTGCTGCCAAGATTGTCAATCTCACTTACTAATGTAAAGTTTTAAATACAACTTTCCTGTTAGGGAGGTAGCGATGAGAGTGATTAGTAGGGGTCAGGTGTTGGTATATGATGAGCTAGCGGTTTCGATAATTATGTCTTTGGCATAAAATCCTGTTAGGAAAAGTATTCCTGATAGTGCCAGGCTTCCATAATGAGTGCAGTGAGAGGGAAGGGCAGTGCTGTGAATCCTTCAAGTATCTCATTCATCATGTAGGCTGTGAATAACAGATCCCAAACATAAGAACAGTATGGCTTTAAAAATGCATGTGTACACACATGGTGAAAGGCGTAGGGAGGGTCTGTTAAGGCTCATGGTAACTATTATCAGGCCTAGTTGGCTTGAGGTGGGGAAAGCTATAGTTCTTTAATGCTGTTCTGGGTGAGGAGCCTGATTGCTATAAACAGTGTGGTGACTGCTCCTAGGCATAATATTATTGTTTGAATCAGGTTGCTTCCCGTCAGTGGGTAGAGTCAGGTTAGTAGAGAAATGCCTGCTGAATGGAGTAGTGCTGAGATGGGTGTAGGGCCTTCCATGGCAGAGGCTAGTCATGGGTAATCCGAATTGGGCTGTTACTGGTAGCAGCTAGGAGGAATCCGGTTAGTGGGAAGTTGGAGTTGTCAAGGTTGAGTAAGAAGACCTGTAATAATCCTCCTGTGTTAGGGTTACATAGGCACCATGCTATTGGTGTAATAAATCTGGTGTTTCCGATATGGTTATATAAGATTGCTCACAGGGCGGCAGTATTAGCATCTGCTCAGCCATATCATCACCCAGTTAACAGGAATGATGTAATTCCTACTCTTTCTCACCCAATAAATTGGAAAAGACTGTGGGTGGTAACTAGCATTAGTACTGGGATGAGAAACACTAGAGGCACTTGAACACATTGACATTTGGATCTGGGTGCATATATCACATTGAGAACTCGGTTAACAAGTCACATGACGAGTGGTGCAGGGCTACTGGTGTGCAAGTCAATACTTCTGAGAACTAGTCTGGTCTGAAGCTGAGTGTTTGTTTCATAGTTCAAACTGTTATTCATGTCAGCTAGAAATGACTATTTCCTGGCTGAAGGTAAACATTACTGTGGGGATTGGCCTGGTGATAAAGGTACATGAGATTATAGTTTCTACACAGTTTGATGTACAATGTATTTCTGAATATTAGACACAGTTATTGCGACTAGTAATAACCGGTCAGGGCCGGGATCGATTCCCGGTCAGGGCACATGCCTGATCACTGCCAGGTCCCCAGTAGGGGGCATACAAGAGGCAACCACACATTGATGTTTCTCTCCCTTTCTTTCTCCCTGCCTCCCCCTCTAAACATACATTTTTTAAAAAAATTTTAAATTTTTAGATTCCACTATTAGTATAATAGTGGAATTACTGTTGAGGAGATAATTAGCTTTCTTACTTTTATTTGAACTTGCACAGACTTTTCAGTTCCTAAGACCAAGGGACAACTTCCAAAGTTTGAAAAAGCCACACTCTTAGGTGTGGGGACATGAGTAGCAGTTCTAGCATACTTTTCAATAAATAAGACTTTTTAACCCTGGCTGATGTGACTCAGTGGACTGAGTGCAGGCCTAAGAACCGAAGGGTTGCTGGTTCGATTCCCGGTCAGGGCACATGCCTGATCACTGCCAGGTCCCCAGTAGGGGGCATACAAGAGGCAACCACACATTGATGTTTCTCTCCCTTTCTTTCTCCCTGCCTCCCCCTCTAAACATACATTTTTTAAAAAAATTTTAAATTTTTAGATTCTATTATTAGATTCTCAACCTAATGTTTTGGTTAAACTATATTTATAACACAAAGTCCCAAAAATAATCCTGGAGTTAATGGTTAAGAGTAGTGGTGCATTCATTGCATTATTATGAGTGTTTTCTCATGTAAAGGATGGTTTAATATTGTTAATGTGATAATGTGTGGTTCCCTGTTGGGGCATAGTTTGCATGTAAAAGGAACATGAAGCAGTAATAGCGACATTAACTCCTATAAGAATGATGGACAGGTGGGATCAAGAGGATGTTGATATAACTACAACCCTTCTCTAATCAAGTTGGTTGTGGGAGGCAGAGAGCTGGGCTGACGAGACTTGCCAACGGTCATCATGATGCTCTAAGAAGAGGACTGTTCGTAGGCCGTGAGCTAAAATTATAGTTCAGTATAATTCAGTCTTTTCCAAGCAGCTTACTTTCAGAATAAAAAGACAGTTGCATTTCTAAAGTATTCACTGGGGTCGAATGTGAGGGCAATCTAAAGTGCTAGAGGTCAGCAAGTCACCAGAGAGGAGAAACTGACATAAAGAAGTGAATTGCTATCGATCCCATTTCCTATTCCTCCTAAGTCTGAGGATTCAGAGCCCACAGCAAGTCCCTAAGGTCTCGTTAGAGACAGCTGCCTTCCCCGCTCTGGTGTCTCAGGACCTCCCCACTTTTCCTACAAGAACTAGATGGTCTCTCCTCCTCACCCCCACCCCTGCCCTTGGGTCCATTGCCTTTGACCTTAGCTTTGTTCGCCCCCAAGACTCTCATCACTGCCAGGACTCCCTTGATCACCATAGGCTTTATGCTGAAAAATGCTGCTCAGTTTTTGCAAATGGCAACATGCTTCTTCCTCAGAAGCGTAGTATTGACTTCTGAGGGAAAACCAGTGTTTTACTAAATTTGAATTAAGAAGACACAACTCCTTTGCATAGGAGTCTGAAGGGGTGGGGAAGAAGAAAGGGAAGAATTTAAGTATTTCAGGGTGATGACTGATTTTACTTTTGTCCTCACCTAAAAACATGCTTATTGACTTTAGAGAGAAAAGTAGGGAGAGGGGGAAACACTGACGAGAGAAACATCCAGCAGTTGCCTCTTGTACAAGCCCTGACCAGAAATCACACCTGCGACCTTTCAGTTCACTGAACTACGCTCAAACGGAACCATACTGGGCCAGGACAGGATTGTGACTGGTTTTAAAAGAATGCCATCATTCTTTTAGCATGAGCTAAAAACAATAGGCAGTTATCTTCTAAATTAAAATTTCATGATTCAGAGAATGCAAGAATTCTTGTTTTTTTATTATCTACCCACTTGATATTTGTAGTGATCTGAAATCTTTAGCTTCAGGGAAATGGAAAACTTTCTATGAGGGATCTACATCTCTGAACCTGCCTCCCTCCACCCAAGCCCAAAATGGTTAACAGTCACGGCACTACAGAGTATGCTACAATTACTTTTTTTAAAAAGATTTTATTTATTTACTTTTAGAGGCAGGAGAAGGGAGGGAGAAAGAGGGGGAGAGAAACATCAATGTGGGAGAGATACAGTGACCAGTTGCCTCTCACATGCCCCCAACTGGGGACCTGGTCCACAACCAAGGCATGTGCTGACAGGGAATTGAACCGGCGACCTTTGGGTTCACAAGCTGCCACTCAATCCACTCAGCCACACCTGCCACGGCTGCATGTATTTTTTAAACTATCTATCCATACTGATCAATTTTAGAAGGCACTGCTGTCACATGATGCTGTTTCTTCTCTAGGTGGCACAGTAACTAACGGCAAACAGGAGGGAGGCAGTGTGAAAATGACCGACTGCCATGCTGTGGCCTGGTGAGTACACAGACATCATGTGGGCAGCTGTCAGTCAGCAGGACGTATAAACGAGTCCTGTGCAATAAGACTATGTAGCAAAAGGTCCAGATCAGTAATTTTCAACCTTTTTCATCTCATGGCACATATAAATTACTAAAATTCTGCAGCACACCATAAAATGTGTCTTTTGCTAATCTGATAAAAACCAAAAAGCCATAGGTATTATTTGGCTTCATTCATTATTTTGATTCATTTGCACCAGATGGCTACTTTGTTGGCTGTTGTCATTTTTAAATACGACAACCTAAGGGAAACGAGGTCATGACCCCTGCCTAAATACTCAGGTACTACACGTTTTAAAAATTCTTGCAGCACGCAAGTAAATCACTGATCTAGATTGTTATCTCAGCCTCGAAAAGTCTAAGACACAGTTTCCAGAGTAAGAAGTAGGGAGGGTTGGGGGATGAGGAACCTGGCTCAATTTAGGACAGGGGGCCTCAGCCACTGCCCATGCAAATATCCAGCAAAAAGTCAGGCATGGGCACAGACCACAAAGGGCCAAGACCAGCTTTCATGCCTCCCCCCAAAAAGGGCCAGAATAGGGGACTGTGAATCTACACTCACCTGCCTCATCAGCTGACTCAGCTCCCACATCCTCCACCCTCGTAAACTTAGAAAGTGGGAGCCTCGTAGGACCCGCATGTAGTAAACGCTCAGTGAGTGTCTCACTATTACCGTTGCTGTGGTCACCATCACTACTGTCATCATTCCGTGAGCACACACTGCCCCTGACCACAAGGCTCCTCACAGCTATTTCAGCGACATTCTGATACAAGGACATGGCAACCCATAGCCACTGAGCTCTTACATACCAGGCAGTTTTACTTAAACACAACAATGACACTGGCAGGTACGGACTGCTGTGACTGCCTACTATTTGCGGACAAAGAAACTGAGGCTCAGAAAGATTAAGTTAGCCATGGTCATATGGTCAGGAGGTGGAGAGCTGCCGTTTGAGGCTGGAGGTCCTGACTTCAGACAGAGCCCCGCTCTCACCACCATCCGGTGCTGCCCCTGGTACGTGGACAGGTGACAAACACTGTGTCTACCCACTTCCCTCTACCAACCGAGTCCTCTCGGCTCCTAAAGCACAGTGACCAATCACAATTCCCAGGGTGTAACACACAAAATTCAGAAGGAATTTTGGAAATCAGGCTTTGTGGAAATCAGACCCAGGGCCTACTGTGTCAGGCAGTGATGAGAGTGACGGCACCTCTCTTCTGCCTGGAGGGAGGGAGCTGGGAACAGCGGTCCCCCGCAGGTCTGACAAGGACGGAACTTGCAGGCAGTCCCAGTGCAGGAAGGACCAGCAGCATCACAATGCCCCCATTCTTGGTGGGCATGACACCCCACTTCCCCCCCTGGACCTGCATGTGCTGAGACTATTGAATTTGAACTTCTGTTGCTATAACATACCGTCTTTGTTTCTCAGACTCTTATTTCCTGTCAGTCCTCTGTCCCAAGAGATAACAGAGACAAAACTTTCTACTCCTTAGACAATAAAAGCAAGTTTTGTAATGCAAGAAAAATAACATTTGAGTCAACTGTACCATTTACATTCGAATTCTCTATCAGGATGGCAAACGTTCAGCAATATTTAACTATAAAGTTTTGCTAAATGGTTCCATATTTCTGTGGAGACATAAAAATACTTTCTGAAAATATGACATATAGGACAGTGGGAAAAGCACCATATTTTACAGAAACAATGAAATCCACCCTCAAATGATCTTTCAATCATCAAACTGCAACTCCCAGGTCTTGAGGGAAAGAGTCATTTTAAACCCCTTCTGTGACCGCTGTCTGCACATTTAAACTAGGGAGAGTCTTTCTGAACTTAGTTTTTCAGCTATTTAATACATCAGCCACACAGAAGTCAGTCTGCAGTCAGGTGTGACATGAACGCCAAGACACTTCCTAAAACCAAGAGCTGCATTGGGTAGAAGCCAGGGTCTAGAAAATCCATTTGTCTTCTTCCCTGGTTCCTGCTGGAAGTTCCAGGAGTCTGCACCGTGCTCCCTGGAGTTTCTCCCTGTATCCACACACCATGCACAGGTCTCAGAGTGCATTGTACTCCACGCATTTTGAGGGATCTGTAGGAAAGTGCTTCTGGCAAATGGTCATTAACCTCTTCAATCCCTAAGAAAATAAGGAAAATAAAGGTTTGTTACGATACCTTGGGACTTTCCTTACTTGTCCTCCTCTGTATTCACTGCAGTTTACCAATCTCCCCACTAAAATGTGGCAGTCCCCAGCAATAACACTCAGATGTACACCTAGGGAAACGTTTCTTCATGTGCACCCAGAGACATGACACAGTGGTCGCAGCACAACCGGTCACAGTAACAATAGCAGCAGCAGCAGAATGGGAAACCACCCAAATGTTCATCACAGGGGGGCTGTGAACGAGCATCCGTACACTCACGAATGGAGCCCTTCACAGCGGTCACAATGATTAACAAGGCAGAGAGTCTAACAACTCAGGGTCCAGCAGACAGTTAAGGCCCACTGCCTAGTCTCAAACATCCACTGTACCTAATGAGACAGCTCCTCTTCTGTGTACGTCCTAGGGAAACGTGTCAGAATGGGCACTCGGACCACTTTGTGTGTTTTATGGCCCAGGTGGGGACTCTGGTTGAGAACAACTGATGTACCTGAATCTTAGAAACAATGCTGAGTGTAAACAGCAAGTGGCAAAGGTTGCACAACAATATAAGGCATTTTAATAAAACTCAAAAACAAGTTCAAAAATAATATATCGCTCAGAAACACACATATAACATGGCAGAATTATTTTTGAAAAAGCAAGGAAGTGACAGATTCAAGATGATGGTTACTTCTGGGGTAGAGAAGGAAAATACAGAAGTGAGTGGTTGACCAAGCATGATATGCATGCTTTTCAAAATGCTCTAGTTCTTAAGCTGCAATTTAGGCCTTTAGATACCTGTTTTGTTTACTTCATAACTCGCATGTGTCTTTGGATGCACAAAATGCTACATAATGAAAGCATTTGAACATCCTGACACTGAGTACTACACTGCAAACGTGACCTGGCCAGTCCTGCCGAACTTAGTGGGCTGCGGCTGCACTGCCTTTGTTCCGGACCTTTGCCACCCGTGTAACCGAGGCCTTCAGTTCTTTTTAGACAACTACAGTGCACATCACAAATTCCCACCGCCTCCCAAGTATCAAGGGCTCTCTATCCCCTGCAGCTAAGGCCAGCTCTTATCCAGTCTTTAACTTGATAGTGATAATTTTACCTGATGACAAGAACTATCACTCTTAAAATTCTTCCAGTCTCTCGCAACTCATCCTTACGTCTGTGATCTTTTAACACCCTTAGCTGGCATTTCGTTTTCAGGTATTCCTCTTAGCTTCCTCATCCACCAAAGATACCTCTAGGTCATCATCCAAATTCACAAACAGGCCAGAGACCAGGGCAGAAACTGGTCAGGCTGCTCTAGGTCTCTCTGGATCAGTGCCGGGAAGAGTTCTGCAACCAGCAGTAAGTCCTGCTAACTGTTTTATCTATCGGCCTACGGGTGTCCTCATTTACAAGGATAGGCTGTCAAAAGTCTTAACAAAATCTACATATCTACAGCTATATGGATTAGTCATTAAACATAACATCCACCAAGAACAGCAGTGCTTAATTTTAATCACCTCCAATGTCATTTGTGACAAAAATTATTTTAAGGTTTCTCAGCTTCAGTTCACAAAAATGACAATAGCCCAATTCCCATCACATTCAAGAATGGAACCCTACCAGAGGACAGTGAGTGGTTGACCAAGTGCAGGCCCATACTGGACACTGAATATGAAATTGTACATATAGCACCCTACCTGGTATTTAGCTAATATTTCCCCAGATTTGTTTTATTTCTTCAGAATGATACCATGAAATATCATCTCTTACAAGAAAGAGCTTCATGACTTAGTGGGAAAGCAGAGTATGCGGCTCCAACTGCACTACACAACAACAGAAGAGTGTGTCTGGAAGCCTGAGGAAGAGAGGTGAAGAACTGCCTTGAAATATTGGCGGATATAACAGGTACATCCCGAAGCATCACCAAGCATGTAGAACTCTTCATTACTCTGTAATTACCTAAGTATTCAAACAACTGTGGAGCCCAAATTGAAAACAAAACACCTCATAAGAAACAGGTGAGAAGATGGGTGAACAGGAGGAAGAGAACACCCTGATGAAACACAAACAGCGTTAGCAGCAGCAGAATATGGCAAGAATCAGGATGAGCAAATAAAAGACAAATGGGGGTTAAGACTGATGGGGGTGACTTTCCTGACAAGAACTGGAATCTTAGGAACTTGCCCCTTAAAGAAGGAATCTGTGAGGTGTATGTACCCTCACCAAGGAGAATCTGATTTAAAAATCAATGCTAGTATCTTGTCTAAATGTTAACTGCCAAAAAGTCTGGCAATCAGTAGTCCAGGTCATAAGCAGTTTACAGTACGATAAAGTTTGTAGTGAGGACTGATAGTACACAGCACAGATTTTTAAGTTAAAGGGGCATAGTTTCATGACAGCATCTGGTTATTTTCCAAATTGAAACAAACCTTTTCAACTGGATCCCTCAGGATTTCACTTTCAAATTGCTTGTGATGTTTAGACTAGTAAAGCAGGGAGCTGTTAACTCAATGCAAAAAAACTGGTGGTATTTTTGCATACAATTTTTATTTTTATAATAGCAAAATATTCATTATATCTTTATTCAGGGCCTACTATGTGCCAAGCACTCTCCCAGGCTCTAGGAATACAGCCAGGAACAAAACAAAACCTCCCTACCCGTAGTAAGGTTAGGTTCTAATAAGGGAAGACAGACAAGAAACAAAATAAATATGTAACGTACCTAACATATTAAATCACGATAAGCGCTATGGACAAGTGTAAAGCAGGAAAGGGGTAGGGTGGATGTGGGGGCATGACTGAAAGGCCTTCGGCTTGCTCCAGGCGAACTAGGGAACTACTCTGGGGCTCTGGGCAAGAGAGCGACAGAATCCAGTTTGTGACTTCACTGGATCACTCTGGGTGCTGCACAGACACCCAACTGAAAGCGCAGGGAGAGAAGCTCAGGGGCCACAGTGGAGACACTGCAACACTGCAGATGACAGAGGGTGTGGCTGGACCCAGGTGACACCAGTGGCTGTGGTGAGAAGGATCAGATTTCAGATCTACTTTGAATAGAAAACCAGCAAGATTTGCGAACAGATAGGACAGGGGCTGAACTATAAAGAAAACAATCAAGAACAATCCCATGTGTTGTGTGTTATCATGGAAAAAGAAGACACACAGCTCTTACTTCAAACAAGAGCAGTCCTCTGCCCCACCCTTTCCAATCCCTCATTTCAGTGCCCCAGAGGCAACCTTTCAAATTTCTTAAGTGTTTCTTCTGATATTTACTGCCCTATTTCCAAATACTATGCTGATATTGTGTTTTATTGTGATTGATTGATTGATTTTTTAACCTACTGACTTCCTACCATGAAAGCTGAGGATTTAATTCTCTACATCACGCCCACTGGCTGCACATAAGCACGCAGGCACCCGCACACACTTTCCCCACCCTCCCCAGTCACAATGCGTAGGGAACGCAGTACTCAGGATGTACCTTATGATGTCCACACAGAAACTCTTCAAACAGAACCACACAGTGTTATGACGCCAACCTCTCTTTGCACAGGTGTGCTTCCCCATCTTTTTGCTCTTCCATGCAGATGTCACCATTCGCTCTCCAACAGTGAGACAACTCTCAGTGTGACCAAACACACTGGTACTGGGTCTGTTTCCCCGTTTTTTTCTTCCTGGAGCCCTCTGCCTGCCTGTGCCGATCCAGGCCAGCTGGATTCCGGACCTCCTTGTATACTGCTGCCATCTGAGAGCATCCCTTCTCCTCCAACCTGGGAGCTCCTTTTCCCTGCTCCAGGGCTGGATCTCACTTCCCACAGCTCTTTTGTTTGTTTCCCTCACTTGGGGGGACACATCCTGAAGTAGAGACAATATCACAGTGGAGTTAAGACAGGCCAGGTCCAAATCCCAACCTCACCACTTCCTAGCTGTGTGTGTGGTCTTGGGAACTTAATTCTCTGTGCCTCGGTTTCCCCACTTGTCAATCAGAGATACCATAATATCCTCACACTGTTGCTCTAAACTGGTGAAGTGAAGCACACAGACGGCATCACAGAAGTGCGAGCTGTCACTGTGGTGATTCCCGAGATGGGTACGTGAGAGGGCACATTTTGAGACTTCACTGTCTGGAGATGCCTTGAGTGTATATTCACGCTTGACTATTAGTTCAGATGGAAAGGGAATCAGTTGAAAATTCTCTCCCTTACTATTAAAGGCATTGCTCCAGTACTCTTAATAAGTGTGATGGCATTTCAATCCTGAGCCTTTGTAAGTGACCTGTTTCTTTCCCCCAGAAGCATTTAAAATCTTCTCTTTATTCTTACCCTCCAATACTTCATTATGTTTTGCCTTGATGTGAGTCCTTTCCTGTTCATTTGCCTGTGTACTCAGTGAGCTCTCATTTTCATTTTGGAATCTCCTGTCCTTCGGCTCTGGGAAGTTTTCCTGCATTCATTGTTTATGTCCTCACCCTCCAATTAATTTCTCTGTTCTCCTTTTCCCGAAGTTTGAACAGTTGCAGACCTTACAGGTTGACTCCCTCATCCTTTTATCTTTCACACAGCCAAGACTGCCTCAACTTTATCTTGTTTTATTTAATCTTTACATTTCTGCCATAATGTTTAAGTTTTAAGAGCTCATTTTCACTCTCTGCCCTTTCTCTTCAGTGTATTGCTCTTATTTCATGGCTATGACTTCATCTAAGGCTGTTCAGTTTTTAACTGAGGGTTTTTGTTTTCTCTTCCCTATTCGATAACTTTCTCCCTGATCTACTTGTTTTCCTTGAGTTTGTTTTGGCCTCTGTCTTTTATGTTGGAAACTTTCTCTAAATTTCTGAGGGTTCCAGGTGAACATTTATGTTACTGAGTAGGACACTAAACAGCTAAAGGAAATCCCCTGAATGAGGAGGCTTCATCAGTGGAACTTCATCTTCGGACACTAGGGGCAAGCCAGTTTTGTCACTGGGTAATACTAAGTATTAGTGATTATAGGTCTTTTCTCCTGGATCAGTTCACGGAGACCAAGCTCCAATTTCCTGACTAGGGGTAAAAGCCTGGCTGTCAGCATCAGAGCAGCCTATGGAGAACAGGAACTGGAAGCCTCATGGATCAGCATATAGACTTGCCCTGAAGTCTCCTGCTCTGCTATGACATCACCCCTTTGTGAGTGATGTGAATCCCTCAGAAAGTACCGTATTTTGCCGTGTATAAGGTAAGCCACTCCCGTGTATAATATATGCCCATGTTTCTGGCCAAATTTTCAGGAAATTCACCTTTTGTTTTAATTTTGTAATTCAATTATTTATTTCTTTATATTTAGATACTTGTTTTTTTGCATTATACAGGAATTTCCGTCTTTATTTTTGAGCATATTGTGGCACAAGAAATTTAATATGACAAATAACTACAAAACACAACAAAGGATACCAGGTAGAAGAAATTTTATGTACTGGTGACAAATTTACAGTATTTGTGGATCACAGAAGGCCAAGAACTCTTAGTCACTGTCCATTGAGGTCCGCCCTGCCTGGTCTCAGGAAACTGTAACCCCCCATGGCTAAGGCTGAGTAAGAGGCCTCCAAACCAGGAGACACCAGATAAGTTTTGTCTCCTTAAGACAAAACTTATTTCCTTGCCATGAACGCTGCCTGTTCTAATGCCTGGCTCCCTCTGCATGATCAGCAGTCAATGATGGGTAACAATTCTCTAAGAAAGAGGGTGAACCTAAGACAGACGAGGGCACATGGGAATGCCCTCAGGGAAGAGACCCAGGGGGCTGTGGAAATGAAGGGGTGATCGACACTGAACCCTGCCTCCCTCGGCTTTGTCAAAGCCTGAGTCCTTGAGAAATCCAAGTCTCCTGGCTGCCTTTGTCTCCTCTGCCCAACTCAGGCCTGCAGAAATAACAGGGGTGGTGCAGTCCAGACCAGAGTCGGCAGACCCCCAGGGTAATCAGGCCTGGGACATAGAATATGCAAGATCCTGTGAAATCTGCTTGCTGGAAGATGCTCTTGAATTAGAATATGAAGGCAAGGCAGAAAACAAAACTAGCCTTTTAGGTCCTATAGTCTTCTTAAATGATAAAACCCCAGAATACCAGTGGGAGATCTGCCAGCCCCTTTGAAAACTACCTACTTGTTTTATCTTCCCTGTCAGACTGTAATCCACAAACTGTATCTGTATTCTTAATAAAAGCCTGCTCAGGAGAGAGAACGGGGCGTTCTCCACTAGAGAGAGTGGCAGTTTCGTCCCTATTTCTCCACAGGACTCGGTTGTCCATGTGTATGTTTTCTCGTGTTTTGATGAGCATCTGCAGCATTCACGGTCACTGCCAGACAGTGGCCATCTCAACTGTCAGTTCAGAGGTATCATCATCTTCAATTTCTACATTACTGGTGTCTTCTAAAGAGTGACTTTCCTTATCCCATTAAATTTCATCATTGTCTTCAGTTCCATCAGCATTGCTGATGCTGCATTTTTTAAATGATTTCACAACCACTTTCTTCTTGTGACCATCCCATGATCTTAGGATCCAGTCATGGACCTGGGTGATAGATGCTTTCTTGATCCTGCCTGTCGGTGTTAAATCATTTCCAGCTGACTACATCTACAATGTCCTCTCTTGCTTCATTAGGACCTTAAAGGGCTTGTTTACTGACACACCAAGAGGTTGCAGGTGGATGGTTAGCCCACCAGGTATCACAGCAAGTTGGGTTTCAAGTCCGCTGCGATTGCTTTTGCACTTGTGTAACGAGGGCTTTGAAGTCATCAAAAACGAGCAAAGCTGTTTTTTTAAGTAAACCTCCAGGTCTTCGTGGCCAGACTTTGTTAAACCAGATTTTCATGCCATCTTCCTTCACCCATCCTTTTTCGTGCTCGTGGACAACAGCTCCATATGGAATCTTTTCTTCCAGGAATGTTTTTCTCTTAAAGGCCACCACAGGCAGGAGCTATGTCCCACCAGCACAACAGGCTGGAATGGCAGGGACATGTGCTCTCCCTTTTCTTTCCTAAACTATCATTAGCTAATAGGACTTGAAAAAGATTCTTTTTCTTTTTAAGAAATCTTTTATTGAAGTATAAAAGATACTTTATTAGAGCCATTATTTCTGTACCTGTCACAAGTCTGCATTGTAAGAACAAAGGCTTGAAGATGAAAGCACAGGCCCATTTAGCAGTACAGCCTGAGAAGCTGAAGAATAAGAGAGAAGTTGAGTGACATGTGCCACCTGGCTGTTTAAAAAGTGCTGTCAGTGAGCTGCCAAAGTTCTATTATACTGCAATAACTTGCTTTTAAGAAATGGTTTATCAGAGCCAAGCACGCCAGGAAGTAGCAGGAACCCGCGTGACCTACAATGGACGACATATGATGTGATGCACGGGAGTGCTTACCAACCAACCGTGACATCGTGTATTCAACATGTGGGCCAAGCTGTGACCACTCATCACAGCAGCGAATCTTTCTGTTATACCATTTGGCAATATGTGAATACATTATAGATTTGTAAATGTTCCATGAACAAATCTGGCAAATGCTAGTATACATGAAATATGCCAAAACCTGAAATACGGATTGAGATATCTGGTATAAAATGCTGGAGTGATGTCTTTACTAGGGAATTTACAAACAATGTGCCACAGAAAAACAACACAAGGCATTCTGCCTGCTGTAATAGTGAAAGTTGAAGCAAGGTTACTGGGAATGAAAATTACTCTTAATCTTCTAGTCCCCAAAGAAACCTGTGTGGAAATACAGCACACAGATCAGTTAGTCTACACAGATCAGGGAGGGTATCACCAAGAAAGAGAGGCCACACTCAAACTGCTTAAGGTGACAGTGGCAGTTTCAAGGACTTGACAAAGGAGTGGACAGGACTTCGGACACTGAGAAAGTACAGCAGCCCAGAGCTGACAATACTGGGAGGTTGTGGCCAGCCTGAGCCCTGAAGTGGCACAGGAGGAGAGTGCTTACTAAAGCCCTCGCAGAGTGACTGCATGGAGACCGGCACTGAGAGAAGATATGGCCTTGGGCAGAGAGTGCAGGCATGATGACTCCACAGCCAGGAACCCAAGGAAATGGATACCCCAAACTCATTCTTCTTCCTCCTACAAAATGCCTCCCAGCCCCACCCACTGCCTGCCCCAGTCAGAAGCCAGAGGGCAAGGGAGCCTGTCCATGCTGTACATAAAGCCGGGTTTCTGGGACACAGGACAAAGGAAGCAAGGGCGGAGAGGGTTGTCTGGAGAAGGTAACAACCATTTGATGTCAATTTCACCATTTAATCCTTTTCTTCTTTACCAACAGACAAAGACACCCGAGATGTGAACCTTTCCAAAAATTATAAAGTCTATAAATAGTCAAGAACTTCCTATAACCTGTATAAAAGAAGCTTTATGCCCAAATCTGGGCCAAAAGCTACATCTGTATTTCGCAGAAAAAAGTCCTTGAACTTAGTATCATCAATTTAAATCTCACCCTTAGATTTTTAAATTTTATTTTTGTTTTTATTTCTTAGAGAGGGGGGAGGGGAGGAAGAGAGGGAGAGAAACATAGATGTGTGAGAGACACATCGTTAGGATGCCCCTCACACGCGCCCTACCAGGGAACTGGCCTGCAAACCAGGCATGTGTCCTAACCAAGAATCGAACTGGCAACATTTTGGTTCACAGACCAGTGCTCAAACCACTGAGCTAAACAAGCCAAATCTAAGGCTCACCCTTAGATCGGAGGCCACCTAATAGACTACACAACTTTTCTTTGATCTACACAGTATGGAAATCCTCCATGAGATGTGTTTCATTTCTGGAAGAAAGGAAACACTTCAAACAACTTTCCACAGTTTAAATTCTACAGAGGTTTGCATAAAACCAAAGGATGAAATCATATTAGAGTGAACCCCTTGAACTGTCTTCCACCATACTTCATAAAAGGTATTTCTCACCAGTATTTCTAAATAAAACAAATAATTACTCCACACATTTTAAGATTCCATTGAAATGATGGCCAAGAATAAATAAAATTAACTAAAAATGACACAAATCAGAACAGTGGTTACCTCTGCTAACAGGGAGGATTCACACTGGGAAACAGCATCCAGGAAACATCTTGAGTGCTGCTAGAAATGTTCTATGTCTAAATCTTGTTTTACATTTTGATACATATTACAAATACCAGGAATCATTATGCCCTGCCCAGCATGGCTCAGTTGGTTGGAGTGTTGTCCCGTAAACCAAAAGGTCACAGGTTCGATTCCCAGTCTGGGCGAGTACCTAGGAGTGCACACAAGAGGCAACTGATCACGGTTTCTCTCTTACACCGATGTTTCTCCCCCGGCTCTACCACTGAGCTCTACAATTAATATCAGCACACTTCACACACTACACTGTTTGCTGGTATGCTCTATGTTAATTTTAAAAGAATCAATTACCCCATTAAATGACTTGCAATTATCTCCACAGCAAATTATCTTAGTGTAGGAAAGATTCAGGTTTATGCACTTACCAGGGGTCAGCAAACTATGGCCACAAGCCACCGGCCTCTGTTATAAAGGAGATGTTAGGGGAACACAGCCACAGGCAGCGTCCGCACTGCAGCTGCAGCGGTGAGTACTTATGATAGAGGCCTATGATCTTTAAGAAAAGGTTTGCCGACACCAGACTTAAACTTCAAGTGACATCTTTAAACTGTCCCTCTTTTTCAGGTAATTCAAATCGACCTCATCTAATACCAAACTAAGAAGGAGATTCATAGGACAGCTTAGGAAATTACTCAGTTAAAGTAACTAAGAATTTGATATAACTCTAACTTGGGGGTGGTGGCAGCATTGTTTTGCCTTGAGTTTTAATGACACAGATCACAAACTGATCTGGCCTTAAACAATGTTAATTTTTTAATATTTGGTGCTGATATTTTTAAAACAGGAGTGTCTACATTTAAAAGAAATAACAATTTTGGCTGCTCATACCAAAATAATAAATAAATAAATAAATAAATAAATAAATAAATAAATAAATAGAGATGGAGCAACGCTGGAAGCACACTCCTACAAGGAAACAATGAGCTGCAGTGCCGCCAACACCACCAGCCTCGGCACTGGCTGACACGTCACTCTGTGCCCGCACCGCCCGCTTTTCTCACCAGGGGTGCTGAGTGGAAATGAATACTGCTGATGGGAGTGCCTGCGGGAAAAGTGGGAACACAAAACACAGGTGTTCCTCGACTTGCAGCTCATTTGTTACCTGGCTGTACAGGGCATGCTAGTCCACACCCTCAGGTGTAAGCAGTGGCCTCTAGGGCAACGGCAGAAAAGAACCAGAGCATCTAAGGGCCAGAAGGACCAGGAAGGGCATGGGTAACTCGAAGCTTGCCGACATCACGTCGTAGGGACCTCCCCCATCTCTTCCAGAGTGGCCCTATTCCTACCTCAGGTAATTCTGCCTGGCCAAAAGCTTCTTTGTACTATCTTTGCAACCTCTGTGAGCCTATATTTATTTCAAAATTAAATGTTTTACAAAAAGCATCTCCTGACACTGATTAGAAGTCTGTCTTCTTGTACGTGAATCAGCCCACCACCATATAGGACAAGTTTACTCCCTCCTCCACCAAAAAGCTCTTCCATTATCTATACTTCTTTTGCCCACATCTCCACAAAGAGTTTCCTTTCTCAAGGACTCTCTTGTCCTATAGAGTATTCATTCAATTTGATCAGCAAATATTCACTGGGCGCCCATCGTAAGTGGTCACTAGGTGTCTAACAGTGAACTTGCTTTGTGCAACCAACACAAAATTACCATGTCTTATAATGTAGTATAAGCTATCATGTGACTTTCCAGTGACCGTATCATGTCACTGTAATTTTATTACCCTCATGGTCCACTGCATTCCCTCATTTTGTTCTCCTATACATTGCTCAGAGGTATGCTCAAGCAACTAGGTTGTTGGATCCAAATTCCTTTATGGTCATCCTAGCTAAATGTTCTATTTGAAGAATCTGTCCTTCCTTCCCCTGACCAGTCAGGCTCAGTTGGTTGGGTGTCATCCAACAATGCCAAAGGTTGCAGGTTTGATTCCCAGTGGGGAACGTGCCTCAGTTGTTGGTTTTGTTTTGTACCTGGCATGGGTGTGTGCAAGAGGCTACCAAGCGATGTTTCTCTCCCTCCCTTTCTGTCTAAAAATAAATAAACGAAACCTTAAAAAAAAAAAAGCATCTGTCTTTTCTACAGTCTGCCAAGTACTTCTACAATGCCAGTCTCTTTTCTACCTTAACTCACACTCTGTCCCCCTTATGGTTTCTTGTTGCCTAAGTCTGATCACCACACCTCTCTGTGTGGCCATCCGACTCGGTCACTAGGACAGCACTGTGGGCTCTAAGAACCTAAGGCGTATGTCACCAGCGTGCACCAGGGCAAGTGTGGACTCCTGCTCAGTGATCCATGGCTTCCCTCACTCGCAAGCTGGGAGTCACCCGATTGTGCTGTCATGCCCACATCCGTCCACAGAACTGTGACTGGATTTGGGTCAGACCCCTTCCCAAAGCTCAGACACAGTATGGTCACCAATTTTCCCTCATCATCTCTGTGGAATAAAAAAGAATTTTTTTTTAACGAGAGTAACACTTAAAAGGGATGAACTACTGAGGAGAGATAGGTGACTGTAGCTTCCAATATAAACCAGAAAGTTTTAAAAATAAGCACTGGCATACCTTTTTAAAAACCATTTAATGGGGAGCTATCAGTATTTAAAAAAGAAATGCTCTTTAACTAAGACATTTTATATAATTACAGGACTCCTATACACACTACATCTTTGACTAAGGCTTAGCCAAACACACTAAGCAAATTTAATCACTGGAAATTGTTTCCTATTGTTAAAGCCAAACATCTCCCACCCACTCCCGCCCTCAACTAAAAGCTTTTGGCCTTTCATAGTCACTGGTGGTTATTTAAAAAAATGGGAATGTCTTTAAATTTCCATAAGTATATCTGAACTCTATAAATTCTAGTTTATATCAGGGAATCTGGAAGAAATGATTTTTTAAAATGCCAATATATGTGAATAAAGCATAACACAAATGAGTATTTATCGCTTGGTTTGAAATACAAACCAAAAGGTAATTCATGATTATGGTAATGGTTGCTCTCTTTCAGAAAATCTGTAGGCACTTCATACATTTTAAACAAATTTTAAATTTTAAGTAAACTTTCAGGATGTCACCTTCTACCTTTAGAATTAACATCCAGCAAAAGCTGTTACACAGATACAACCTGAAATTCTTGACAAAAAGCTAAGAAGACAGTTGATTTTTCCCACTAAGGATAAAAATTTAACCAAATACTGTACACGATTTCATGTGATGTGTATACAACTAAAAAAAAAAAAAAAACTGTAAGGAGTAGGGAAAAACTTAGACCATGAGAAAATAGGAACCCAGCTAGCTACAGCCAGGAGATTACTAGGTTACTGAACAAACATCCTGCCTTCCTGCCTTCCCGCCTTATGCAAGAATGCTTGGTTTGAAATTCCCGAGCACGGTCTTTGTAAGCGAATTGCTAACTGCCATGTCTGCTTCCGTGTAACGCTTGCTTGCCCGCCCCTATATAAGGACTTAGGTGTAAGCTCTCGGCGTGTCTCTCATTTGCAGCCCCTCGTGGGTACCGTGTCTCTGGACACTCTGAGAGTTCGCCCCTGCGCAGGTTAAACTTGGCCAATAAAGTAACATCCTTGATACCCTGAAGTCTCCGACATTTGTTCTCGCATTTGCTGGATGCAACAAAAACTATAAACACTTTTGAGCTATCATGTAGAGAAGTCTTATTACAAGTTACTTAAAAATTATGTTCAAAGTGAACTAACAAGCCAAACAGAGACAGACTCAGAGCAACTCGACAGCTTTGAGGTGATGATGGCGGGGGTGGCGGGTGAAGGGGTTCAGTGAAAAGGGAAAAACTCATGGACAGGGACAACAGTGTGATGATGGCCACAGAGTGTGGGAGATAAATGGTAATGAAAAAAATGGTTTTTAAAATTATTAAATTAAATTAAAAAAATTATCTTCATTAAAGCCAAATGTTTACTATTCATATGTTTTATCCTAGTACATGTTAAATCTACCTTAAAAGCAACAAAACAAGATTTACTGCAAAAATTCTGAATTTGCTGCTCTTCTGTAAACACCCAAAATAAACTGTAATAGTCTTATTTTAATGCTAAGGTACACCCTTCAACCTGGCTTTGCATCTGGAAGTGGTCCCCAGCCCCCAAGGCTAGTAATGATCCATGGCCTGTCAGGAACTGGCCACACAGCAGAAGATAAGCAGCAGGCCAGAGAGCTAAGCTTCCACTGCATTGCAACCTGAGCTCCACCTCTTGTTTCCTCCTGCCCTACCTCCTTGCCCCGCCCCGCCCTGCCCTGCCCCACAGAAAACCTGTCTTCCACCAAACTGGCCCTGGTGCCAAAGATGTTGGGGATCACTGATATGTGAAACTTAAAAAGTTTTTATTTTGTTCGGTGAAGATGTCTTAAAGAACTGTGCTTATATCCTATCATGACATGTCCTTTTTGCTATAGTTCTTTTGCTCTCAAAATACATAGTTTTGGAATTAGAGAACGTTAAACTCCAGAGAAATGCCTTTCCCTCCAAACTGCTTACCTGAATATACTTCCTCTGTGTTTCATCATTTAAAACATGTGCAACATGCTTGGAGAAAATCTTTTCCCTACCAGTTCTGGCATGAATACCAACCATAGTGACACCAATGGGCCAAGGGGCATTTCCAATGGCCATCTGAAGATAAGCATCATTAGCCTAAAAAGAAAGATTAAGAAGAGATCAGAAGAGCAGAAAATATTGTGTTGGTCCAAATTTTTATTTCAAATATTTCACAGCTTTTTATGACTTTTCAGCCATCTCTTAAGCATGCTGAAAATATTACCATTCTCCTTATTCAAACAAAAGGAGTTAAAATATGGGATGACTGACTGTCCTGCCCAGACCACACATGTCCATGGAAAAACAGAAACCAAAGCTAACCTTGTGAATGAAAAGACAAACATTCCTCAACAGCCTTTGTGCATTGAACATTACTGCATTTTGATCTGGAATTACCAGGCAGGTGATTTGATGTACTGCCAGAAACTCTCGTTTGGATCCCCTTTCTACCTAGTCTTCCCGACCGGTGGTCACACAGAACACAGAGGCTGACTAGTTCCCCACAGTCCAACCTGACCGGTGCCCACTCCCTGCACAGCAGTCAGACCTCTGGCAGCAGCGGGGCTCTGCACACTGGGGTTATCACATAGGCCCACAACAGGCTTATAAACAGAGAATAAATACTGGCTCTTGAATCGGCTAAAGCATAGGATCTCTTCACCCTGTCCCACAAACCTCCCACCTGCTTAGAACCCTAAATTATTGTAAAAGCTATAAAAATAAAGACAGAAACCAATGAAGAAGAATGGCTTTTTTTCTAAAATAAACCTGGTAACTTGCAAGGAAAACAGAATAGCAAGGAAATTCTAAAAGACCTTGAGCATTTCAGAGAAGCCTATATACCCAAGCCTCAAATAGATTTTTGTTTGAAAAGTCAAACTCCTGCCATGGCTGGTGTGGCTCAGTACATTGCGCACAGGCCTGCAAACAAAAAAGTTGCTGGTTTGATTCCCAATGAGGGCACATGCCTTGGTTGTGGCCAGGACCCCAGTTAGGGGCAGGCAAGAGGCAATCACACATTGATGTTTCTCTCCTTTTCTTTCTGCCTCCCTTCCCCTCTCTCTAGAAATAAATCAATCTTTTTAAACAAGTTTTAAAAATAAAAATAAATCAAACACCAATGTGTTTGATATGCAGAACAGATTTTAAAAATATTGGGTATTACAAATTGGTTAACTGAAAAATCATTTCATCCCTAAAGATAAATTTGAATTTGCTGTACTGAATTTTTTTAAAACTTAATTTTTAAAGGGCTTATACACTTTTTAAAAAAAATTATTTATTTTACTTTTAAAATGGGGAAGGGAAGGAGAAAAAGAGAGAAACACATTGAATGTGTGGTTACCTCTCAAGCGCTCCCTATTGGGGACCTGGCCTGAAACCCAGGCACATGCCCTGACTGGGAATCAAACTGGTAACACCTTGGTTTGCCGGCTGGCACTCATTCCACTTGGGCTGTATACATATTTTTATCACTGATCCCCATGTGTGTAACTTGAACACTAGATATTAACTGATCAAGTTTCCAATATTTAGATTCTTAAATTTCCAAAGAAAACTGTCAAATAGGTTATTAAAGTTTCTTGGTTCTTTGTGCAGTTTATATATCATAAACCTTCACCTGCTTCTCATATATGAGAATGAGAAATGTAACAAGAGTAAAGGCAGGTGACCTGAGTTCTTTTGTAGTGATGGTGGCCTTACCCATCCATTCCAATGCTGTCCTTGGTAAGCAGCATGCAACTAACAGAAACTGTCCAAGAATACAATTAATAGCCATAAAACAGAAGCACTTTCTTTGATAAAACTAACTGGCTCCCATACAGAGGGAGTAAAAACAATACTTCAGCCTCATCAGCCTGAGGCTCTGATCAAGGAGACCACCCAGTCACCCAGGAAGGCCAGCGGCCCCTTCTGAGCACAGACACGCAGAGCCCAGGAAGAAGCAATGGCATTCCTGCCGCCGCCGTGCTGTCGGAGCCCTGTCCACTGACCGGGAACTGCTGCACGGGGAACTGCCACACGCCACACGGGAACTCTCCACTGCCACTCTCTCGGGAGGCACAGCCAGCAGAAGCCCCGCTCCTCACCCTCGGCTTACGGCCCACCAAGCTACATCCCATTTCCCGTCTCCACCACTGGTGCACCAGGCCCTTCTCCTTCCGCTCCACCAACTGACAGCCCTCCATGCTCCCCTTTCTAAACTCGACCCCGGCTGCGCTTGGGCACCTGAGCCCTTCCCCCACGCCACCGCCTCCCAGGGCCCATTCAGGAGGGGGCAAGCAGCAAGTCTTCCCCAACAAGGGGCCTGCTACTGCTGCGGTCCTGAAATGGGAGAGATGAGCGCTGGCGGGCTGACATGGAACACATTCTCATAGAAACAAGTATAAAGGGCGGTCAGATTCCACTCTATCACTAGTACAACCCTTTAGCTAGGAGTAGTACGTATTTGTATCTGTACAACGTTGTTTCTGTGGAAAAATTTGTCCTGAGCTATAACCAACAATCTGCAAATTTTGAAACTCATTCCCAGGCACGAAATGCACCTTGCCCATATATAGTACGTGATCTGAAGAATCTTTGTATCTGCCTTAAAAAGGACTAAAAAATACAGTGTGGTCTGAAAATTTAATATAAAATGCCCAAAATTAAGGTGGCAATACATTAAGAAAATAAAAGGTGTTTTTTTTTAAAAATAATTAATTTTACATTTATTCTTAAATCTCCTATGTGATAAACATTCCCTCACGAAATGAACATAGTATGTGCACAACCTAGATATGCATGCTCAGAACCACAATTCCAACGCACAGCATGGCAATGTACCTTCACATATTCTCTCTGCAACATGAATTTAATAATATCTGTTATGGATTCTTTAATATCAGCAGGAAGATTCTGGAAAAGAAAAAAGAGCAAAATTAATTTTGGAAGCTATTGTGTGTAGTTTCAGAGTGAATTTATTCTAATTTCATATGTTCTATTTTTTTTATTTTATTTCTTAATTGGGTTTTTTTTGGTGTTGAATTTAAGTACTTTGTAAATTTTGAATATTAACTCCTTATCAGATGTCTCAACAAATATGTTCTCCCATTCTGTGAGTTATCTTTTTATTCTGTTGCTGTGCAAAAACTTTTTAGTTAGTTTGATGTAGACTCATTTATTTTTTCTTTTGTTTCCCTTGCCTGGGAAGACATATCCAATAAAAAATTGCTGTGAGCAATGTCTGAGATTTGGTTGCTTATGTTTTCTTCCAGGATTTCTATGGTTTCGGGTCTAACATTTAAATCTTTGATTCATTTTGAATTTATTCTTGTGTGTAGTGTAAGAAGGTGGTCTAGTCTCATTTTTCTCTATATATCTGTTCAATTAAACAACCCAGTTAAAAAACAAGCGAAAGACCTGAATAGACACTTCTCCAACAAGGACATATGGATGGCTAACAGACATATGAAAAGATGCTCAACGTCACTCATGAGAGAAATGCAAATTAAAACCATAATGAGATAGCACCCCACACCTGTCAGAATGGCTATCATCAATAAATCAACAAGTGCTGGTAAGGATGTGGAGAAAGGGGAATACTTTTGCCCTGTTGCTAGGAATGCAGACTGGTTCAGCCACGGTAGAAAGTAGTATGGAGATACCTCAAAAATTAAAAACGGATCTGCCTTTTGACCCAGCAATCCCACTTCCGGGAATATATCCAAAGGAACCCAAAACACTAATTCAAAAGAACATAATCACCCCATGTTCACTGCAGCATTATTTATAATCACCAAGATATGGAAGCAGCCCATTAATGGACATAAAGTGTCCATTAACAGATGATAAAACAACTATGGGATATTTACACAATGAAATACTATTCGGGTGTAAAAAAGAAAACGTTTTCTTTGCAACAGTATGGATGGACCCGGAGAACATTGTGCTAAGTGAAATGAGCCAGTCAGAGAAAGACAAATGCCATATGATTTCACTCATATGAGGAATCTAGTCAACAAACTGAACTAACAAGGAAAATGCAGACAGATTCATAGATGGAGGGCAAGATGACAGCTATTTGAGGAAGATTTTAGGGGGTAGAGAAATTGAACAAAAAAAGAAAAAGGACTCGTGGACATGGACAACAGTGCGGTGACTGCTGGGGGAAGGGGTGTATATGGGGACTAAAATGTAATGTAAATAAATACAATTAAGATTTTTTTTAAAAAGGCTTCATTTCTTCTTAGAGAAAGGAAAGGGAAGTAGAAAGGGAGGGACAAGAATATTGACTGGTTGCCTCTCACACACACCAGGGACTGAACCTGCAAACCAGGCACATGCCCAGACCTGGAATCGAACTGAACTTCATTTTGCAGGATGATGCCCAAACAACTGAGCCACACCGATTGGGGCTGTATGCTATTTTTAAAAAATCAACTAAGAAAATCATTTTTTGAGATTCCTTACCCTTTTCCGTAACTTTCTGAAAAGGGGTCTGAGATAAGACTCGGTCTGTTTCTGTGTAGCACTGTTCAGTTTACCCTGCACACTGCGCTTCACGTAGTCTTCTCTGGCATTCAGTTCTTTAGCCCAAACACCAAGAAGGAACTGTGGGAAAAATGGATAAATTTAGACTGCAGCGCCACCCAGTGGTTGAACAGGTTTAAAAGTTCGCTAATGCACAAAGCAGTGTAGTACCATCCTTACAGAAAATTTCTTGACTGATTACATTATCATCCACTAATAATTAACGAACTATATCTGCTGATTCTGTCACATATGTTTTAAAGTAGCACCTTTGGGAATTCATAAACCTCCCTGTTCTATATATATATTCCTAGTTCAAAGATAATCCGTTTCCCCCCAAAAGAATTACCCAAATACATGAATAAGTATTTGACAGAAATAAACTTTTACTTACATTTCTATCACATCAAATTTGCCCCACCTAGATTATCAGCCATAGCACCATTTGCCTGCGATAGTTAATAAATCCCCCAAGTACGATGTCGTACTATGTGGACTTTCTACTTTTGCAATAGAGACAATAATTTAACTAAAAATTCCCATAAAAGAGAACAGAATAGAATAAAAAAGAACCTATGACCCATACTCTCCCTCAACCAACCCCGGAAAACGACTGCAGTACCCACTGGGTTGACCAGTGCGATGAGCACCCTTCCAGAGGCAGGTGACAGCACTGGCTGCAGAGAACACACCCAACTACTGGCCTTCCTGTGCAATCCTATATAAGAAGGCGCTGTCACTCTAAAATCCCAGTTCATAATAAAGAGTTTCACGCCCTATCTAGTTCCATATCACTTCCTCAATAGATTCAGAATCTTTAAAAAAAAAAGTTCTTATTTACTTTAGTGAGAGGGAAAGAAGGCAGAAAGAGGAGCAGAGAAACACTGATGTAAGAAAGGAACATCAATCACTTGACTGTAAGAGACACCCAAAATAGGGACCCGGACGTGTGCCCTGACTGGGAATCAAACCGGCAACCTTTCACTTTGCAGGACTGAACACGAAATATTTTTTAATAAATGCTAAACTACTAAAGACAGTATGCTGAGAAGGAAGATAGAATGAGCATATCACAGCAAGAATAAAGAGCTGTGTGAGTAACTGAGAAAATGAACAGTCTCTGAAAGGTTACTCATGTGTTTGCTCTTTTCACTGCCAATGTCTTCTTCCCTCCTTCCTTTCTTTACTGTCATTGCCTCCCACAAAAGCTTCTAGAACTCTCCCCTCATTGTAGTCCTTCCTCGAGTGCTTCAAAAAAATGTAGAGCTCCCCATAATTCGTGTTCTATCCACTGCTGTAATCCTATTCTTTGTGTTTATGTTAATAAGCCAGCTTTTTAAAAAGTGCCAGAGAAACTTAAATATGTCTTTGATTAACCTCTATATCCAAATGAATAGCAAATTCATAAATAGTGCACATCAGAAATGTTTATTGACCTTTCCCTTCCCAGTCTTTAACTCTTGACAATGCAAAACTATAAAAACAATTATTAACCATAAAAATGTCCACCTTTTTAAACTTAAAAGTACATACCTTAAGGAATTTGGTAATGATGTCCATGTCTTTATGATCATCACCTTTTCCTAAAGATTCTCCCAAAGCCTGAGGAAAAATAATGCTCCTGCTCATGAGTGAAGAGCAACAACTGAATAGATACGTTATCAACACCAGTCTAAACGTGGCTCTTTATTACATAGACTGTCCAACTGTTATTTAAAAACCTGATGGAATCTCTAGATAACTTTTTTTAAAAAACATTAACTTGCCATTTAAACTGTGAAAGCATGTTATATTTTATGAATCAAAACAGAAGAGAAGGTAAGGGGAGTGACTGTTAATGCACAGGAGATTTTGTCTCAGGGGAACAGTTGTTCTAAAATTGGAGTGAGATGATAATTGTACCACCCCATGATTATAAAAAGACCACTGAATTGTACACTTTAAATTGGTAAATTGTAGGATAGGTGGATTTCTCAATAAAGCTGTTAGGGGAAAAAAGAAAACCTAGAGATGGTTGCACACACCAATTATTCTAATATAATGTACAGCCCATAGACAGGTAATTGGGGTACAATTAACAGGACATCCTCCTTGATGATGATATCAATATGTGCAAGAGCAAGGATTGAAAGAAAAAGAAAAACTAACACTTTACATTGTATTAATATTAAGAGCTTTAAACTAAGCAATATCATTTGCTTGAGCTAGACATTTGGATAATACAGCATTGTTCTTTAACTGAGATTACATGTATCACTTCACATTCAACACACTGACAACAAATTAGAAAGCACAGGAGTGCCCAGTGCTGAAAGAGAGTAGGGCTGGGAGACACACCCTGCTGGTGGGGTGCAGACTGGCACAGCCATCTGGAGAGCAGCTTAGTGGTACAGCTGAACCTGGTTCTCGAACTTAATTCCCTCCATAAAACTGTTTGAGAAGTGATCCGCCTGACAAGCAAATCTCCTTTTTCTGTTGCCTGAGAGAAGCATGACTGATCAATCATACAGGTATCAGCTTGAAAGGGTCATCAGGTAGAGAACTGAGACCCGAAGTTTTATTAGACAACCGAGACATTTATTTTGTGAACAACTTATTCAAGAACCAAAATTTTCAAGAACCAACATGTTCGAGAACTGAGGTTTGACTGTACTTAGACGTCTAAGTTAAATATATGTAAACCCAGCAATCCCACTTCTGAGTCCACAGAGCTGTTTGTGGTGATAGGGGGCTGGGAGCCACCTAGTTGCCCATTATTACGGGAGAACAAAAGTAAACAGCAGTGAATACCACAGGGTATGAAGTATTACTTAGCAGTTAAAAGCAAAGGTTTAGATGTACACAGGCATCAAGGATGGATATTAAACACACAGTTCAAAGTATAAAAAGGAGAAGTCAAAGCAGAAAGAATTTCACAGAACACCATTTATGGAAATCAAAACTCAGACTCCCAAAACACTATTAGTTTTAGAAGTCCACCAACAAACAAAACAATGCATATCAAATATATTGGAATGACTACTTTTGAAGGCAGGAAGTAGGGGAATGAATGTGAGTGGACAATGAGAAAGAAGGGAGTTAATAAATGAAAGCATGAAATGATAGAAGGGCCTTAGTAATGATCAAAGAGCAGTGTGCTCTGCACTGAGCTATCTCATGAACTCAACCATTTGCTGCAGGGAATGAGAGGTGTGATGGGGAATGAGGTACGGTGGGTGTAGAGATTACCTCTAACTCTTCTATTGTGGTGTTTTCTTCATGAACTTTCAAATCATTCTGTGTGTCCTCCTCTCCAGGTTCCTGACCACCCACAAGTTCATTGAGGTATTGCTGATCAATCTTATCCAACGCTGCTTTCAGATCATTTCTCAATCCCTGAGAAAGGTGAAAAGTTACACCTAGTATAAAATGTCACACATATTACACTTGATTTTTCACAAATCATATGTATCATTCATCTCAAACAACCAGTCAAGATGGCGGAGTAGGTAAACACTGCACTTGCCACCTCCCAGCTGTACTTGCCGTGGAGAACCACCTGAAGACTATTCTGAATTCCCAAACATTCAGCAATGTCCATTGTATAAAATCAGTGTCTCTCTATATCCTAGGCTATCAATACGTTTTTAACACCAGCAAATTCCACACAGCATTCACATCGTTTGTGACAATGAAAATGGAAGCCTTAAGCTGGATCCTTACCTTACACCATATACAAAAATTAACTCCATAGGGATCAAAGGCCTAAACATAAGACTAAAATGATAAAACTCTTAGAAGAAAGCACAGGGGAAAAGCTTCATGACATTGGACTTGGGAATGATTTCTTGCATAGACCATCACAAGCACAGGCAACAACAAGAAAAAACGGGTAAGTTGAACTTCATCAAAATGAAAAACTTTTATGCATCAAAGACACTATCAACAGAGTGAAAAGATAACCCATGGAAAGGGAGAAAATGCTTGCGAATCACGTATCTGATAAAGGCTGATATCCAGAATACATAAAAATCCACCCACATGATTCCAAATGGGCAAAGGACTTGAACAGAATGGGACATGCAAATGGCCAATAAGCAAATGAAAAGATGCTCAACATCAAGAGTAAATATACACAAGAAATCCAATCCACAATGAAATATCAGTTCACACACAAGGATGGCTATTTGCAAAACAAAACAAAACAAAACAAAACAAAAACCCAGAAAATAACAACTGGTGAATAGGATATGGAGAAATGGAACCCTTGTGCATTGCTGGGAATGTAAAATGGTGGAGCTGCACTGGAAAACTGTTGGCAATACCTCAGTAAGTTAAATGTACCATACCGAGATATGTTATAATTAAAATATGCAAAGTTAAAGACAAGGAGAAATTCTTTAAAGAAGCAGGAAAAAAACAACTTGTTACATATTGTACAATGAAACCACATGTAGGAATGTTGCAGGCCAGAAGGGAGTGGCACAATATATTCAAAGTACTAAAAGAAAAAAGCTTCCAACCAGCAATACTCTACCTGGCAATGTTATCATTCAGAATTGAAGGAAAGATAGAGTTTTCCAGACAATCAAAAGCTAGAGTTCACCACCACTAAAGAAATGTTAAAGGAAGAAAACTATAAAAAGTAGAAATCTCACTGTTAAAGGTACATATAGAGTAAAGGTAGTGAATTAATCATGCATAGAGCTAGTATAGAGGTTAAGACAAAAGTAGTAAAAACAATTATAACTACAATAATTAGTTAAGGGATACAGAAGAGAAAAAGATGTAAAATGTGACATCAAAAACATGAGACTTCTGGTCAAGATGGAGGCATAGGTGCACATGGTTCACCTCCTCACACAACCACAGCAATAATTACAACTAAATTACAAAACAAGTATCAACCCAAAATCGTCAGAAAATCAGTCTGTATGGAAGTCAGACAACCAAGAAACCCCATTCATCCAGACAGATAGGAGGGGTGGAGTTGCACAGATGTGTGGGGAGGATTAACAGACATGGAACGGGTAGTCCCACACCCACATGTGGTGGATAAAAATCAAGAGGATAGCAGCTCAACACCAGACCACCCAGCCCAGGGTTCCAGAGACAGGAAGATATGCCCCCGTAACTTCTGGCTATAAAAAGCAGTGACGGCTGGGGCAGCAGAAGAAACTGTGGGATTCTCAGGAGTCCCTTTTTTTAAAAAATGATTGTATTTCTTTGTTTTTAAAGAGAAGGGAGTGAGAAACAAAGGGAGAAAAACATCAATGTGTTTTTCAATGTGTGGTTGCCTCTTGAGTGCCCCCTAGTGGGGACCTGTTCTACAACCCAGGCATGTGCTCTGACTAGGAATCTTTGGTTCACTGTCCAGCACTCAATCCAGTGAGCCACACCAGCCAGGGCAGGAGTCTCTTTTTAAAAGACCCACAAAGTACTTAAAACTTATGCAGACTCACTCCCCCTGGCCTTCAGTACCAGGTCAATAGCTGGAAGGGCACCAGTGGCATACAGGGAGAAACTGAAGTGTCTGGCATCAGGACGAGTGCCGGGAGACACCATCCTCCCACACAAACCACCAGAGGCCAGGGAGCAGCACTGTCACCACTCTGAGCCCTCCCCCACACAAAGCCAAGAGCACGACACAGTATCTGAGGCTCCATCAACTTGGTCCACATGGAGTGTCCCCCCCTAGTGATTACCTAGGGCTCCACTTCACCCACCTTACTGGTGTGCTTTTCTACAATAGTCCATGCTATTAAGACAGGAAGTCAAAGCAGTTCTATCTAATACATAGCAACAAAAACAGGGAGGCTGCCAAAATGAGGAGACAAAGAAATATGGTCCAATTAAAAAAAAAAGAAACAAAACTGCAGAAAAAGAACTAAACAAAATGGAGATAAACAATCTATCAAGTGCAGAGTTCAAAACACTGGTTATTAGGATGCTGAAGGAACTCACTGGGTACTTCAACAGTATAAAAAAGACCCAGGCAGAAATGAAGGTTACACTAAGTGAAATAAAGAAAAACTGACAGGGAACTAACAGTGGAGGGGATGAAATCAACAAAATAATCAATGACCTGGAACATAAGGAAGAAAAAAATATACAATCAGAACAGCAGGAAGAAAAAAGAATCTAAAAAACGAAGATAGGCTGAGGAGCCTCTTGCACAACTTCAATGCACCAACATTCAAATTGCAGGGGTGCCGAAAGGAGATAAGAAAGAGCAAGAAACTGAAAACTTATTTGAAAAAATAATGAAAGAAAACTTCCCTGATTTGGTGAAGGAAATAGACATACAAGTCTAGGAAGCAGAGAGAGTCCCAAAGAAGTTGGACCCAGAGAGGACCACACCAAGACACATCATAAGGAAAATGCCAAAGGTTAAAGATAACGAGAGAATCTTCAAAGCAGCAAGAGAAAGCAGAGAGTTACCTATAAAGCAGTTCCCATAACCATCATCTGATTTCTCAAAAGAAACTTTGCAGGCTAGAAAGAACTGCAAGAAGTATTCACACTGATGAATATCAAGGACCTACATCCAAGATTACCCTATCCAGCAAAGCTATCATTTAGAATGGAAGGGCAGATAAACTGCTTCCCATACAAGGTGAAGCTAAAGGAGTTCATCATCACCAAGTCATTATTATATGAAATATTAAAAGGACTTATCTAGCCCTGGCTGGTGTGACTCAGTGGACTGAGTGCCAGCCTGCAAACAATAAAGGCACTTATCGAACAAAAAGAAGATCAAAACTATGAACATTAAAATGGCAATAAATTCACAACTATCAACAACTGAATCTAAAAAACAACAAAGCAAACAAGCAGAAAAGAAACAGATCACAGATATGGAGAACATTTGGAGTGTTATCATTTGAGAGGGGGAAGAGGGACAATGGGGGGAAAGGTGCAGGGATTAAGAAGTACAAATTGATAGCTACAGAATAGCCATGGGGATGTAAAGTACAGTTTAGGAAATGGAGAAGCTAAAGAACATATGTGCATGACCCATGGACATGTACTTAGTGGGGAGATTGCCCGAAGGAATGAGGGGTACTGGGAATAAGGGGGTAAAGGGGAAAAATTCAGATAACTATAATAGCATAATCAAGAAAATCTTTTTTTTAAAAAACATAAAACCTGGACAGGTAAAGTAAAAATGTAGAACTTTAGAATGTGTTCAAACTTAAGTTACTATCAACTTAAAACAGACTGTCCCAGTTATAAAAAGTAACACATGAGGATGTGATGTTCCTCATGGTGACTATATTTTTGCATTGCATATTCAAAAGGTGCTAAGAGAGCAACACTTAAAAGTTCTCATCACAAGAAAAACATTTCATAACTATATATGGTAAGGGGTGTTAACTATTTTCAGTGATCATTTTGCAATATATACAAATAAATTATGATGTACAACTGAAACTAATATAATGTTACATGTCAATTATACCTAAGTTTTTAAAAACGCGTACAAATAAGAAAGCATGTATTATCTGACACAGGCTTGTACAAGATTAGAATACAGCAAGGTGGAGTCAGTTAATATTAGAAGATAGAAGATTTTTAATGTAATAAAGCATGAGTAATAAAAAATTAAATAAGATAAAAACATCAGTTAACAGCATTTTACTTTATCTTTTAATAAAGAAAGTGACTTAGGATATAGAAGAGAAATAAATGTTGGTAAAATGAAGCACTGTAAAAACCTCTAGCTCTTTCCAAGAATTTAGGTTAAGAAAGAGTTTCAAAGGACTAAAAATAAAGAAAAACAAACTGTTGTTTATATTAACTACATTATAATTAATATATAACATATTAGTATGTTATATTCATTATATAAACAAAGAAAAATTTTTTAAATTCATTTATGCTTTGGGGGAAGAAGTTAAACACAGAGTAAATGATTCAGCAATTTCACTTCTGGATAGACATGCAAAAGTGAGAGGGGCTAAAACAGGTATTTGTACACCCATGCTCATCAACTTTATTCACAATAGACAAAGGGTAGGAACAACCCAGATGTCCATCTAGGGTGAAGGAATTGCAGTTTGTACATACAATCGAATACATTCAGCCTTAAAAAAAAAAGGGAAAATCTGACACATGCTACAACGTGAATGAACCTTCAAGGTATTATTACACTAAACTCGAAGACTGGTCCAGCGAAGCTTTCAGATGACCTTAGCCATTCACTTGACTCCAAGATCCTAAGCCAAACACTGCCCAGCTTAGCTCAGTCAAACCACAGAACTGTGAGAGGTAACAATAAGTTATCTTACTAGATTTCAGAATGATCTGGTACAGTCATGGATGACTGAAAAGAGTTTAAAATAATAAATTGTTTTAGGCTACTAAGTTTTGGGTGGTTTGTTACATAGCCATAGATACCCACACCTGTGTCCAAGTAAATGCTAGAACAAGTGGCTAAGTAAATAAGGCCACAGGATATCCGAACAACACTATTGTAAATGACATTTGTACAAAGCATAAAACATACTCTTTTCAAGAGCCTGACGAATAGCTGCCAAAACAAACCATAAGCTGAACTACAGAACAATACCAGAGCCCTAAATGAAAAGCTAAAACTTACTAGCTTTCAGAAGAAAATACACAAGCATATCTCTTCAAGACCTTAGTTAGGATCTGAAAAGATTTCTTGGGCAAAACACTGAAAGCGAGAACAATAAAACCAAATCCTGATAAAGTAGACTTCATCAAAATTTAAAATTCACCACCCCGCCCCCCAGCACAAAAGACACCAATGAGAGAATCAGTAAGGCACAGACCAGGAGAAAATAGTCACAAAGTATATTTGTGTGTATTTCACAAAGGACTTATATTTAGAATATATGAACTCCTACAATTCAAAAATAAAAAGACAAACAACCCAATTAAAACATGAAGACTTAAACACACGCTACACAGAGAAAAATATAGCCAATAAGTCCACAATAAAAATGTTTACGGTCTTTTGTTACCTGGAAAATGCGAACAGAAGCACAATGACACACTATTACACATACAAGAAAATGGTTAAAACTTAAATGACTAACATTAACAAATGCTGATGCCATCTGGAAATATTTGGCATTTCTTAAAAAGTTAAGCATACATTCACTCTTACTATTCAGCAAGTCCACTCTCAGGTATTTACCCGAGAGAAAGAACGTAAGTTCAAACAACATTTTGTGTAAGAATGTCCAAGGCAGTTTTGTTCACAATGGCAGAAGGTTGAAAACATGGTGGTACATTCATATGACTGAATACCATCAGCTACTGACATCTGCAATACCATGGGTGAATCTAAAAAACATGCTATTCAAAACAAGCCAGACACTATGACTTCATCTATAAGTAAAAGGAGAACTAGTAAAATGAATCAATGGCAACAGAATTTAAAAACGTGGTTGCTCAGAAGAGGAAAAAGAAGAATACAGGTGGGACAAGAAGGGGCACTAAGGAACTTTCTTAAATGATGAAAATGCTCTGTATCTTCACCAAGGTAGTGGTTAGAAACTTACACATAGTTGTCAAAGATATGCTTAAGTTGCTTATGATATGGGCTTTTAAAATTTTTTTAATTAATTTTTTTAAAAATTGAGGAAAAAAATTACATCACCAGCAGTAAGTAATCTGGGAACTTTTTCCATTTTTCCTTACAATGATACAATTGGTCAAACTCCATCGGACTTCATACTGTTCTAGTTTATGTGCCACAGTGATATTCTAGCTTTGTTCTGTCCTCTTACCTTGTTAACTTCTGGTGTGAGGATCTCTATTTTTCTTAAACGTTGAAAAGCATCATAATCAGTTTCTCCAAACAGTCTGATTGGTTCTCCTCTTTCTCTCAGCCTCCTGATAACCTATTTAAAAAAAACACAGACACACAGTAGTAATTCCTTATGTTATCAGAAATAGTAATTCCTATTTTAGGTGACCAAACACTTATTTTGAAATTGTCAAGAAAAAGTTCTGTTTGTTTTTCCTTTAATTTTCCATCAACAAACATACTAACTCATTGTCACACCTTCAATGCTCCTAATGGTTGTAGGCCCTTTGGATGTTTCCAAAAGGTACCAATCTATGTAGTAGAATAGATAAGAAAAATAGTAAGATGAGAGCCAGTGATGATATTTATATAGAGAATGAAAATCCAGTTTGGAGCCAGCTGATGACTCAATGGCCATAGCCACGGTCAGTTGCAATACTACATTCAAACCAAATACTTGTCCCTCAGAAGAGAAAGTGAGTACAATCAAGATGCGGCACGTGCAAGGCTTTTGAGGTGCTGACGATACTCAATTTCTTGACTTGGGTGATGGTTTTTGAGTATTTGTTTTAAAATTATCCATTATATTGAACATATGTGTTTTATATACCATGTACACACTACATTTCATGAAAAAGAGATACAAAAACTTTAATTAAAAGTAGATCCAATTTTTTTTTCTAGGTACCAAGCTGGGAACACAATAAGAAACTGTAAGTAGGGCTCACAATGGATTAACTGAAACTTGTATTAAAAAGAAACTTAAGGGGTCAATTGCTTTCTCTAATCAATGCAGAAATGACCTCAAAAACATCTCTGTCAGGTCCCCGTCTGACAAGTGACAGGAATTACACATTTCTTCATGAAACAGCACACCCGATTTTTGGATATGTTTTACTTCTCAAAAGAAATTAAAATCTGCCTCTCTTAAATTTCTACCCCATTATCTTAGCTCTACTTTATGAAAGCACAGATAATACTCAATTTCTTTTCAAAACTGGAGCTGGAAGACTTATGGCCACGATCAGGCGTAGGCAGATACACTTCCCTTCCTTGTATAACCAAAAAAAGGACAATAACAAATTTGAAAGCATAATAAGATACACTATGCCTCCTCGCACAATCAAAAGAAGGAAAACAACAAATGTAAAAACAAAAAATAACCAGAACTGTCAGAAAACCCAACTGTATGGAAGTCTGACAACCAAGGAATTAATGAAGAAACATTCATCCAGAGACTGGCAGGAGAGGTAGAGGCGGGCAGCTGGGGTGGAGAGGATTCACAGCAAGGCGGTGGCTGGAGTACCAGATGCAGGAGGCAATGGCTGCCCAACTGGGGCAGGCAAGTTGGTGGATGGTGAACCCACGCAATCTCAAATTTGCACAGATAAGCTGGGAGGAACAACTGGGGAGCGAGACAGACCTCACAACCCAGGGTCCCAGCACAGGGAAATAAAGCCACAAAAGCTCTGGCTGTAAAAAACTGTGGGGGTTGAGGTGGCAGGAGAACTCCCAGCTTCGCAGGAGAAATTGCTGGAGAAACCCACAGGGTCCTAGAATGTACATAAACCCACCCACCTGGGAATCAACGCCAAAAGGGCCCAATTTGCTTGTGGGTAGCAAATGAAGTGACTGAAAGTAGGCCAAAAGCTGAGCAAGTGGCATTGTTCCCTCTCAGACCTCTCCCCCACAGACAGCACCACAATGCAGCAATGTGGGTTGCCCTGCTCTGGCGAATACCTAAGACTGCGCCCCTTACAACATAACAGGTGCACCAAGACAAATATGGCCCAAGTGAAAGAACAGGTCAAAGCTCCTGTTGCCTCCCACATACACCCCAACCAGGGATCTAACCCTGACTGGGAATATATACATATATGTATATGTATGTGTGTATGTGTGTGTGTGTGTGTGTGCGCGCGCGTGCACGCACCATGGACATAAACTAAGATAGGGGAATGAATGCTGGTAAGAGTGGGGGGTACAGAGAGTGGAAAGTAATAAAGGGGAGGGAAAAATATGACAGCTGTAATAGCATAATCAATAAAATATATTTAAAAAATTCTTTTATTGAGTGCAGGCTGCGAACCAAAGTGTCGCAGGTTTGATTCCCAGTCAGGGTACATGCCTGGGTTGCAGGCCATGACCCTCAGCAACCGCACATTGATGTTTCTCTCTTTCTTCCTCCCTTCCCACTTTAAAAATAAATAAATAACATCTTTAAAAAAAAATTCTTTTAAAAGTAGAGCTGTCGATGGATGATTTAAAAGTCTCTAATATTCCTCTCTTCAGGCTCAGTATTCAAAATATCTTCCTCTAATTTCACAAGACAGCTTCCAGAGTCCTCTATCCTTTCCTCTGAGAGCTTCCTTTTGTCCAAAGCTCATTTTTGTTTTGTAACTTCTGAATAGTTTGAATCCTTTGTATCACATAAGTATCCTCATCCGAGGATATGTTTATTGATTTTCTTTTATACTAATTGATTGGTTTTTATTGATTTGAGAGACAGAGAAAGACCGAGACAGAGAGACAGACAGACATCAATCAGTTGCCTCCCACACACACCCCAAGCAGGGATCTAACCCTGACTGGGAATCAAACCTTTCTGGTATACAGGATGATGCTCCAGCGAACTGAGTCTCCCAGCCAGGGCTCATATAAATATCTTATAAAAAAAATTTTAAGAAAATAATAGCTGCCCTAGTTGGTGTAGCTCAGTGGATTGAGTGCAGGCCTGTGAACCAAAGAGTCATAGGTGTGATCCCCAGTCAGGGCACATGCCTGGGTTGCAGACCAGGTCCCCAGTGGGGATTGAGCAAGAGGCAACTACACATTGATGTTTCTTTCCCTCTCTTTCTCCTTCCCTTCCTCTCTCTCTCTCTAAAAATAAATAAATAAAATCTTAAAAAAAAAAAGAAAGAAAATAATAGCTAATAATGACCAGAACATGGGCAAACACATAATAGATGGGAATATAAACCAGTATAACTGATATACAGCCCTCTAGTATGTATATATAAAAAGTCTTAGAAATGTATAGACTTAAATTTTTCATGCATACCCTCCAGAAATCATACTTGCAGAAAAATTCCAATGGAAATAATCATACATTAACATTATTATGCATGAATCATGTCTATAGGTTACTCCTCTTAGAATGATTTATAATAGGGAAAGACTGAAGCAATCTGAATGACCATCAATAAAGAATTGGTTTTTAAAATGCTCTGCATTTTGCCTTAGAAAGATATATTAAGAGAAAATAAGTTACAAACTAGTACATTATTTAAAATAACTCAGACAAACATAATTTAGAATATATACATTTAAATCAATCTGCTTAGTTGTTAAAGTTTAGAATGATAGATACTTTTAAAAGTTTAATATAACTGTATCAAGAAAAGCAGAGATAATTTAGAACTTCATGAAGAAAGCTGGCTAGCTGCACAATAACTGAGTTCCGTAAGTCACCTTCTATGGGACATATTCACACAAAACTACTGGATAGAACTAGAGATAAATGCAAAGGCTGTGTAGAGTTTTCTTTTTTTCACAGAACACTCTACATAAGCTTACCTCTTGCCTAGAAAGAGTCATGGGTAACTTTTCCTCTGCCAGTTCAAGTTCTAATACTGGATTTGATGAAGTTGATGGTTTCTGGTCCTCCTCTTTTGGCTGTATCTATAATGGCAAAAAAATAAATGAAATTCAGCTTTTAAAACATAGTTAATATTTATCATTCTATTAGCTTAGCTGTTCACAAAATTTAAATATGTTTTAAATATTCAAGGTCTTCTAAACATTCCTTCAAGGAAAGAGCTCATAATAAATGAGCAGCTTTTAAGAGCTTATCAAACTTGTCCAATTCAATTCAGCATAAATAGAAAGCATGCACATTGGAGACAGCATTCTTGCTACAGAAGAGTGACATAAGTATAATAGTCTCCAAAATCAGAACCTTACAAGAGCTGAAATTTAGACTCTCTTTCTCCCTCAACTCTAAGGAATTTTATTCTCTTCTCGAAAAACAATCAACCTGCTTCTCCTATTTCAGAAAATCATCTTACAGGGTTGTCTGCTCCTTGCTCTGGGTTCAAAGTGAAGGTCAAAGAACAGAACTGCTTTCCAACAGAAACCAGTGAAGCCTCAAGATCCAGCTTTTCCTCCCCTCATTTTTGAAAGGTACACTCCAAGTGCACAGAAATCACTGTTGGACATGTAGAAGAATTTCCAATGTTATGTGGCCCTTGCCCACAAATGGAGCTATGATCCTTGTGAGAAAATAATGAAAAACAGTGCCTCTCTACTACCACCACACAAAGAAAAGTGTGGACATACTTGTTGTTATGAACCAGCAGAGAAAAATATCTCAACATATTTCCTTGACTCTGCCATCCAAGTCACAGTTTGGGAAAATCAAGTTCAGCAATTTATAAGCCCCACTGTGTGCTCTGTAAAACGATATTGAAGCATGGTTTCCCAAGTGACCAAAAGACAAATCTAAAATGCCAAAAGATCAAAAAAATATAAAAGATCAACCTTAAAGAAAAACTCACATTCAACTAAGAAAGGCTTAAAATTACATAACTTAGGGCTCTATATTTTAATAGTGTTATCAGTATTAATAGTGCAAAGAAAACTGAGATTAAAAAAAACTATCTTTCCTATTTTTACAAACAAAATCAGCATCAAACCTTAAAAATGGGAACTTGTTTCCAGAAAGAAATGAAAAGCAATACAGGCTGTATTTCCATTACTACCAAGAAGGAACTATTAAAAATGTTTTAGAAAGAGTAAACTGTGCTTTCTTTTTAAGCATAAAAACAGGTTATTTCTCCAAAAATCTTAGGATGAAAAGTACTCTTAGTTACTGACTGGCAGCTGGATTCAACATGACAAGCAATACCTTTACGGTAATTGTTTTGTTCCAGGACTTTCCAATATATAAGCAAGAAAGTGCCGCCACATCACTGAAGCAACCTACGCAAAGCAAAAATGCCACCATTTTAAAAAAGTGTTTTCCTACCTTATGAAAAAGTTGAAAGGCTCAAATTTAAAGATTTGGGAAAGCAACAAGTCAGCAGACTAAACCCAGGGTAATTCTTACTCCAAATCAAGTTGGAAGTTAGACAATATTGGGCAAGCAAAACATGAGAATTCTTCTTTCCAAATATCTATTCGATGGTTACTTACACAAAACATATTCTAATCTCCTAAATTAGAAGTAAATGAAATCAATATATTCATGGAAAATATCAAAATACCAACATAAACTTTCATATTTTAGAAACCTATCAGAAATATAATGAAATTTTTCAAACCTGTCCTTGCCCAACACTACAAAATAAAGCCAAATGCATACACAAACCATTTGCATCACACATGCTTCCCTCTAGAAATGCTATGCCAGGTAATTTATTGCCACAACTTTCAACATGACATGCACAAGGGGATTGTTTTAAATTGGTGTTTCACAAGCAAAAAGTTGACTTCACATTTATGATTTGGCATAAGTATTTCAGAGAGTCTCTGAAATTTGATTAAGGAAATTACTAAAATAGATAGTCTTTTTAAAATAATTTAACTATAACTTCACCTCATAACCATTAACCCCTCCCAATAAAAAACCCAGTACGTTATTCAACCAGGTAATCTCCAAGATACCTTGAGTCATGCTTCTAAAATACAGTCTTCCAGACAACTCATTGGTTTCTAACAAATATTTCAATATTACATTTTTTATCCAAGAGACTGGGCAATATTTGAAATGTGGTTTCTTATTACAAAAAAGCATATAAATGTTATATGGTGCTATACTTCATTCAGGCAGGGGTACTTAGAGCCAAAAGGGACTGTTAACAATGGAAACAGAAAAGCGTTGGCTTAAACATTCAAAAGGAATCAGGGAAAATACCACTGCTAATACCATTGTTGTTGAAGGAATAAAATGTTTTAGCCCTTTAAAAATAGACTTTTATTGGGAGAGGTGAGGAGAGGAGCAGTGGGGAAATGAAAATGAGGGAGCATCAGATCTAATATTTAATTAAAAAAAAATCAAGCTTTGATCTCAAGCCAATTCATGCTGTCCACAGAAGGCCAAACCATTCCAAGCCAAAAGTCATGCATGCATTTTCCTGAATTCAAGTTAAAAAAGAAAAAAAAATGAAAACCAGAACTCATACCTCTCCAGATGGCTTCTCACTTATAGGCTAATGTATAACATTGATAAATTGAACAGAGATCAATAATTTTGTCACTTTAACAACAGGTGTACAAATTTAAACTCAGAAATAGACAATTTAAGATAAAAGCAGGAATTCATACCTTATAGCCACATCTTTCAAAATATGCTTCCTCTTCTTTTTTTGCAAGTTCACTACGCTTGAAATATTTTTTATTTTCCTATTGAAGAATGAAAGACGTTAATAATATATCCTTGAATAAAATTTCATGTCCCTTAGTCAAGAACTTGAAAACAATCCTTCATTTTTTCAAGAAATTGGCAAAGTATTTTTGGTTCCTTAGAGAGTATATTGATTTCCTGAGCATGCCACCTGTCCTTGATCCCTAGTCTAAATTTGAAGTATTGTACATCTTCTTGCAGTATCATTTTAACAGGCAAATCCAACAGCAAATAAAAGTAACCAACGATATTTTCCAAATGCGCACACTGTTTTGATTTAATTTCCCAACATTTGAGTTCAATGATAATCTGTAAAAATGGATTTATTATGAACCATATAAAACAGAATGCTTTATTTATTTATTTCTAACAGAAGTAATGAAACAAAAATTACGGTATTTACCGCTAACATCTTAAATCTCACTATCAACAGAGTTCCAAGAGTGCGCCTCGTTCTGTCCATCATCTGGAATCTTACTGTATCAGTTAACTGCATTTTATTAATTCTGAAAGTTGTATCAATCAAGTCTCAAAGTAATCTAGACATAGAAGGTTTCCGAGAGTCTTTTCATTAAAAAGAGGTGTGGCTCAATTGGTTGGGTGTACTTCCCAAAACCAAAAGGCCATGGGTTTGATTCCTGGTTGAGTTGTACAAGAGGCAACCAATCAATGTTTCTCTCTCACATCAATGTTCCTCTCCCTCTCTTTCTGCCTCCCTTCCTCTCTCTCTAAACCCTCTCTCCCTTCCTCTCTCAAAAGCAATGAAAATATGTCTTCAGGTGAAGATAAACAAAACAAACTAAAGACAGTTTAAAGGCATTTGTTTTAATATGACTTGATGTTAAGAGACAAGCTCTAAGTCTACTGTGATGGGGTGAAAAAGTTCTTTCTATACCATAAATAAAATTCTCCTGGCTGTTAAATCTATAGTCCCTAATTTGGAGGCTTGTTACTACCTACAGCTGTTATTTCATTGATGATTTTGCTCAAAGATAGTGCCCTACCTTATTAGTAGTAATTATAATAGTACATCAATACCACCCCTACTCAGGTATTTAGTACCTCAGGGTCCGAAGTTCGTTCACTCGGGCAATGACCGCCGATGGATGCTAGGACCATTACTGGAGAGGTTCATGGCGAGCAATGGGAAGACCACGCTGCCCGTACTTGAACCCACTGATCAAGCCAGGCAGCAAGAAAACATCATGTACCTCCTATGAGACATGTAGGAAGTACACAGCACTGTCGATACAGCATGCTTACCAAAAGGTAACTATGAATCGAATCAAACACTTAGGTCTAACTTCCAGTTTATCAGAAGCACAGGAAATAGAGGAATAAGCTAAATAACGCCACAAAGAAACAAACACTGGAAAATTTTACAAAACTAGCCCCAGTTTCTCCAACAAGGCAATGGCATCCCCTTGCAAAGGCAAGGCAAGGGGTGAAGCTGGGGGAATAAAAATGTTCTCAATTAAAAGAAACCTAGAGTCACAATAAGCAAATGCAATGACTGCACTTTGTGTGGATCTGATGTGAGCAAAGAAACTGTAAACACATTACATATGTCTGTATTTCAATTAAATTGGACATAACCGAATGTGAAAGGACTGTATCATGACATTAAGAACCTAAGTTTAATTTTGTTGGGTGTCATTTTGTTTATATGAGAACATTCTGATTTTCTAGAGTTACAAATGTATTAGGGGTAGACAGGGTCTCCTTATACAATTCAGGTTTTTGTGTATGTTTAAAATTTTCATAATTAAATTTTTTTAAGTTAATTCATTAACTTATAAACATCCACCACACACCAAGCACACTAGGAGACGTCAAGATGAAGAAGCTGTTAGTATCACCTGAATATCAAAACTACCCTGAGAAAGATAGAAACACATAATATTCACCCTATCATAGAGGTGAGAATCCTGAGGATTAGAAAGGTCAGGTGACATGCTCAGAATTTAGTAAACCTAGTGTGTAACAGAGGCAGGAGTAGAACTCTGGTCCTTTAAATCCTTTGTACTGTCCAGCATTCCAAGCCACAGTTCTCCACTCCCAAAATGTTATTTCAACATCATAAATTGCTCCTTTTATGTATGTAGCAGATAATTGTCATGTCTCAAATAAATAAGTTGAAAAACACATACGGTGTCCTCTCAGAAAGAGCAGATAGAAAGTAAAAGGACTGTCCAGGTCACAGTCCATGGTGTGATCTATGACTATGATATCTTTTACTTTCATGTCTGTTTCATTCAACACACCTGACAAAATCTTAAACTTGGAATAACAATTCTCAAAATGAAGTTCATGGACTTCTGAGGGTTCTTAGACTTTTTCAGGGATTCTGCCAAGGTCAAATTCATTTTCATAGTAACACTAATAACATGTTATGTGCTTCTTTTCAACTGGCACACACTTGCACTAACGGCACTAAAGCAATGGTGAGGAAAACCACTGGAATCTGAGCATGAATGAAGGCTCGGTACATTATTTGTGTGGCAGTGGTCACTGTGCTCCTCAGCACCATGCACTTGCAGGAAAATACACAGGCCAGTTTTTCTTGTCTTGATAGAGTACAATTTTACCAAATCTCCACCCTTGAGTACAGAGTCTTTAAATATTTGGTATGACAAAATAAAAAATGAAACATACAAAGCACTTCTACCACATAATAAAGTGGGATCATTGTCTCAAGAAAAAAGCACTTGTGCAATTGATTCCTGGGGCTTGCACACTGGACAGTCTCTCGAAACTGAACAAGTCTGTCACTTCAAGGAAAACAGTGACAGTATTTATCACCTACGATAAAATTCCATCTTGCAAATGAAGATTAGAATGGTAGGAAACATGTATCTAGCACTGTGAACTTGATCTTTTTTACACTGTTGATGTCTTCACTAAGATCCCTGTGCATCCTTATAACCTGTGTTTTGAACTCTGCATCTGATAGATTGCTTATTTCCACTTTGTTTCGCTTTTTTTCTGGAGAGTTCACTTGTTCTTCATGTGGGCTATGTTTCTGTGTCTCCTCACTACAGCAGCCTCCTTGTGTGTGTTTCTATGTATTAGGTAGAGCTGCTTTGACTCTGTGTATTGGTAATATGGCCTAATGTAGGAGGTGTCCTGTAGGTCCCAGTGGCATAGCCTCCACTATCACCCAAGCTGGAATGTGTGCCAGAATGTGTGCCAGTACTAGAGGTGTGCCCTTTCTGTGGGCTGAGTATACCCTCCTCTTGTAGTTGAGTCTTGGTTGCTGTTTCCAGATGAATGGGAGGCAATTACCTAGGGTAGTCAGCTCCAAGGATAGGTTGTGACCACTTACCACCAACTCCGCCCCCCAGTGGAGGATCAGCTGTGCAGGAGCGGGGTGCTGGTACTCAGACATGTTCTCTATCTGTCCATGGATGTGCTGGCCCTGGGGTTTCCAGGGTGGTGCAGGCCAAGGTCAGCCCCTACATGTTTGGCCTGGGGCCACCTTGCCTGAGGTATAAAGCAATCTGAGATGGCTGCTACTTGTTTTCTAGCCAGAGCCAACCTGTGAATCTAAGCTGGCTGCTGCTAGTTCTGGGCCTGGGGCTCCCTAAGGCCACTGCTGCTTGTTGGACAAGATTTAGGAAGCTATGAAGCATAAGCTAAGACCAGCCATTCAATAAGGAAAAGCAGCTTGGATGAGCTAAGCAACTTTTACTTCAGGACTTTGATGGTGAGTACAGCTTTGAGTGACAACCTTAATGTGGTCCTCAAAGTGTGCTCAGGTCATTAAAGCCAAATCAGTGGTTTACATGGCAGGATCAGGAAATGACTTTACCTGTGATCAATGGGTTTTGAGGGATTAGTAACTTACTCTTCCTCCATGGAGCAAAAGCATTGCAGAGAGTAGTGGTGACAGTTGAGCACAGAGGTCGAACTTTCATAGAACAGCAGAGGAGGACTAGTGCTGACCCAGTGCTGGGGATTTTAACACAAATCATCCCACTGATCCCTGAGTACCCAACAAGACAGGTGCTACTGTGAACACGAAAGTGACACTCAGACAATTAGCACTAAAAAACACTGCATACTGATAGACTGCCTAACATGCCTTTTATTAAACCACTGATACTGTGTTTGCCATGCTAACATTTGACTCAGTGTATACTTTGGAAATCATTTCAGTTTCACAGCTATTAATAGCTCTAGAGGCTGTATTCAAGTGTTTAAAAATGTCAGTTTGGAAGAAATGTGGTTTTCTTCTGATCCTAAAACCAACACATACGCTCGTGGAAAAATATTAGAGTATACAACTAAGCCCAACAGATTAAATAGAAAGAATCTACAACAACTCCTTCTGAGGATTAAGTCCTGTTAAAGCCCCGGCGCCCATTCTTCCAGGCCCGTTGCTGTGCGTGTACACAGGAGGGTGACCAGCCGTCCCGATTTGCCAGCAGAGCAGCTTCCTGGGATGCTGGGAAAACTGGGAGAGTTCATTTGTGCAGATGCACTCGTGCTTGTGCACGCACACAATAGTGAATAAAAACACTTTTACTGGAAACTTCAAGTGCAGAACCACACTGAGCTCCTTGCATGCACTTTCCTTATTCTCACTTTCCAGAAAGTAAACTATGGCATAGAGAGCTGTTCCTGTTACAGTCTTAAGTCTGTTGTCTAGTTTCCCACTGAGGCAGGGTAGTGGTACAAACTCTTAGTCAGCCCCATGGGGTCACGTGCTCCACACAACATTCCAGTCAAGATGGGCCGACTATATGACCTCGGTGGTCCCGTAAGGTTATAATGAGGCTGATAAAGTCCTGTTGTCTAGTGACATTGTGACCTCCCTTACACGGGAGCCCACAAAGAGGTATCACAACACATCTACCAGCATGGCTGGAATTAAAACGACAGACAAATCTTTAAAAGAATTTAAGGCCTCTGAACTCTCTTGCTTTACTGGTGAATATGTAACATAGTCCAACCACTTTGGGAAAGGATCCGCTTGCTTTTTGTAAAACTGAACATAGAGGTATTCTATGACCTCTCAATTACACTCCCAAGAGAGGTGAAAAATCTAAGACTTGTACAAAAAGGTTCGCAGCAGGTTTGATCCTAATAGCCCATCAGATCAGTAGAATGGATTAACAAATTGGATAAACACAACAGATACTACTCAGCAATAAAAATAAAAAACTGATGCATACACATGAAGAAAACTCAAAACATTATTCTCATTAAACAAAGTGGGACATAAAAGTACACCATATGGTCCCATTTATATGAGATTCTACAGCAGACAAAACTAAATGCAGTAGAAAGAACTCAGAACAATGGTTGCTTCTGAGGGTAGCAGGGGCAAGGACTGATCGAAGCTGCAATATACTTGATGCAGACTGAGTTTGCACAGACAGTTGCATCTGTCAAAATTAATTAATGGCACACTTATGATTTCTGTATTTCTTCATTGTAAATTTTTTGCATACACACAAAAAAGTGTAAACACTAGACACTCGTTAATGATATGCATGCCAAATTGTTTACAGGTAAAGTGTACCAACACCTGTGACATAATTTGAAATGCAAAAAGATAAGTAAATTGTTTTCATTATCCTAGCTGCAGCTGTAAAACACTTGTGCCTTAGGGCTTGCTGTTCCAGAAAAGCTGCTACATCTTTGGTCCTTTTAAGTGGTGTCTCGGGTTTTACCTGTGATACCTGAAACAGTAACTGTTTAGCTTGTGAACACCTCTTGGCAAAGTGGAGAAGCTTCTAAAAGAGACTATGACCTGGACCAAAGACCTATCTATAAAAGCAGAAACAATAAATTAGATAGAAAAGAAGCTTTTATGACTTTGACTCCAAAGGCAAGGGAAATAAAGTAAAAAATAAATGATGGGACTATTTCACACTAAAAAGCTGCACAGCAAAAGAAACTGCCAACAAAACAAGAAGGGAACCACTAAATGGGAGAAGACATTTACAGACAACCGCTCTGACAGGGGGTTAATATCTAAAATATATAAAGAATTCATACAGCTAAACACCAAACTACCCATTTAAAAAATGGTCACAGGGCATGAACAGACACTTCTCCCAAGAACACATAACAAATGATCAACAGATATATGACAAGATGCTCACCTTCACTGGCTGTTAGGGAAATGCAACTCAAAACTACAATGAGGTTCCCCCTTATACCTGTTAGAATGGCTAGTACTAACAAGACAAACAATAACAAGTGTTGGAGAGGGTGTGGAGAAAAAGGAACCCTCATTCACCGCTGGTGGGAATGTAAACTGGTACAGCCACTAGAGCAAACAGTACAGAGGTGCCTCAAAAAATTAAGAATAGAGTTACCATATGACCCAGCAGCCCCTCTTCTGGGTATCTACCTGAAAATTTTGAAATCATTTATTCACAAAAATATACGCACCCCTATGTTCACTGCAACAATTATTCAGTGTCCAAGACATGGAAACAACTAGTGTCCTTCACTAGCTGACTCGATAAAGATGTGGGACATATATACAATGGAATACTCCTTAGCCATAAAAAGAAATGAAATATCATCATTTGCGGCAACATTGGCAGTGGCATTTCAGTACCTCATAGTTACACTAGGCAGAACATTTCAGTACAGGTGTTAGGAGACTTCTTTTAGCAGCTCCTCCAGTTTCACAAAGGGGCACTCACAAGGTTTTTACTATTTCAACTATCAGGCTAACAATTGAAAGCTGGGAAACTGCTTGGAACTGCCAAGATGAGGGGGCTCTTCTGAAAGAACAATATACAACAGAGATGGGAGGTTCCTAGCTAAAGATACAGCAATGAAAACAATTCAGGGATCTGCAACCAGCATTTCAATAAAATTGATTAAAATAATAAAATAAATGGTAGAATAACATGTAGGTAAAGAAGAATTGTTTCATGAAACTATTTTCATATAAATGTCAAGACAAAATATTAATTTCTTCCTGTGGCTACAGCAGTGAAAAAGTATGAATTATTGAGTTACTGACACTATGATGCAGAAAGAAAGTCTGTAAAGCAATTGCTCTTATACTGCTGTAAATCAAAACACGGCACCCCCACGCATACAAAAACAAAAGATGTCCAGTGACTCATACTCTCCTCCTATACAGGCACACCTCGGAAATATTGCCTGTTTGCTCCAGACCATCACAAAAAAGTGAGTGTCAAAATAAAGCAAGCTATAACTTTTTTGCTGGTGGAGGGTCTTGCCTTAAATTTGTAAAAAACGTGGTATCTGTGAAGCGCGATAAAGCGAAGCACATTAAAATGAGGTATGCCTCTATTATTCAAGAGGACTCCCTACATGATTATGCAAAGTCACACATTATGGGCGTAGAGAGAGAGCTCAGCTTTCCGTGATTCAATTTTCCCTCTAAGGTATTTAGATTTCTACATCCTGGCTCTCCTCACATCAACTATGCATTCCAATATCTACATTACCTTTCCAAATACTCTCAAATCACTCATCTGAAGAAAAAGGGTCCCTGAAGCAGAGATAAAAATTAAGCTACAGATACGGACACTCTTTCCCCTTTTATCTGCTAAATAATATTCTATGTAATGAGCTTTAATTTGCTAATTATTTTTAGTTTCATTGACTATGAAATCAACCATCCACCAAATAATACCAACTCACACTACTACATCATAGACATTAATTTTACATTATATCCAAAGACCTGAGCAAATGTTCTCCAAGTGTGGTCCCAAGACACCTGGGGTCCTTCAGATCCTTTGCGAGGGTCTGTAAGATCCCACATCTTTTCAGCACTGAGGTACTATTTGGCCTGTACGCTGTTGGGCTTTAGTACTAAGGGTGAAAAGCAAGGGTAAGTCTCCTGAACCTTGATGAGTATACACACAGCACTTCTCATTTATACGGAAGTATGATGATTGGAAGGAAAGCACTTGTGCGATTAAGTTACAAGCTAAACTGGCTGCTTTTTTTCATGGAATATTACTTGTACATCAAAGAATGCCTACACACTATAGTTATTAAGGCTTAGACTTTCCAAAAGTGAACAAGGTAAACTTGTCACTTCCAGGAAACAACTGGTAGCACTTGCTGTCTATGATAAAATGTCAGCTTTCCAGTGAAAATGAAATTGTGGCGATCTTAGATCTGTCCCCACGAGCCTGACGGTTTCTTGATACTTAAAGATACTTCCCATAAAGTCACTCGTGACATTAAATGAAATTTTTAAAACATGGTGGACTGAAATATATCCACGTCTGGAAGATGGGCATAATTCAGTGAGCCGTTACTGTAATCAGTGAATTAATACAATATATAAATATTTTAAAAGATTCTCAGCTTTAACTTCTAACACAGTAAATATCGATAAACACATAAACAAAGCCCTTTGGGATTCTCAGGATCTTGGAAGCGTTAGTGGGGTCCTCAGCAAAAGCTTTGAGAATCGGTCGTCTAAGTTATTGTTATGCAATAAAGTAATGGAGATCAACTTAAGGAAGTTCCTAAAGCACGCAATTATTTCTCCTTTTCTCCGTTTTTCCAACAGTTTTAGCCTTCCTATCAGTGAAGAGCTGACCAACAGACTCTTCTATGCGTGTTGAGAACAGAAGGAATAATAATTTTAAAAAAATTTTACCAGTAGGAAGAAATTAAAATTAGAAACTAATTCTGAATCGGCCCTTCCTCTATGCTTCAGCTGGGTACAAACCCTTAGTAAAACCTCAGACATAACGACCACAAGAATTGGGGCAGAATTCCGACGACTACCGACAAATGAGGGTGAGTATAAGGGGCAGTTACTGAAACTGCGAGAGAATTTAAAGGGCAGCTAAGCGAAATTTTGCCAAAACCTTGCCTTTTTCTGGACCTCCCCTACCCGCTTCCTAAAGCTCTGGAGTAAAAAGGATCATTGGTGGACCCGGAAGGGGCCGCTCCAGGGTAGTCGGGGGCCCCTCTCGTTAAACCCCACCCCTGCCGGAGTCCGGTCAGTACCAGTCCCCTTGCTCCCAGCCTCCCCTCTCGCCGACCGCTACACTACCCGGCGCCCACGACCAGAGACTCCTCACCACCAAGAGGTTCCGGTCCTCCACCAGCTGCCGCTTCCGGAGGATCTCCGACTTCAGAACGTCCATGTCGCCCGGCTTTAAGCTAGTTTCCCCCTCAGGCTCCTCCGACGAACCCTCACCCAGCGGGCGCAGCTGAAACACCTACGCTGCGAGCACAAATGCTGGGGGACCACAATGACAGCGGCGCTTCCGGCGGAAGCTGAGGTGAGCGGCAGGAGAAACAGAACGCCGAGTGTACCTGTTTGGACAAAGGCGCTGTGGATTAGCGGCCCCTGGTGGCGCCCTCCGGCAGTGCGCCTGTGCCTCCCACTACTGCAAGTGGACTGAAAGGCCAGTTTTCTGAATGGTGTGCAGGTCGACATGCTTCATTTTTAACGATGTTTTGTACCTGCTTGTAACTACTAGTTCAGGTCCTAAAACTCCCTCGCAGAGCACCTCAATTATTTTTAAAAGTGCCACATCCCTACTTTTTATACCAGAAGTTCATATCAGACTTTCTGAAGTTATCTGCTTGCCAAAATTAAAGTACAAGATAGAACGAGAGACATGAACAATACTACCAGCTCATTAATATAAAGAAAAAAGGGTAGTGTTCATTGCTAGCCTATTAAACTCCTGTAAAGTTAAGCAACTACATCCATTTAAGGTTTTTTTGAAAGTAAATATAGCATTCCCATCCTTAGATACCTCACAGGAACACTGTAAAAATCTTGAGATGTCAGATCTGAAAGCTTCTTCTGAACTACAAGGTGCAGCCCTCAAGTAAAGTCTGATTTTAATGACCCTCTTATCTGCTTCTGTGGCTCTCACCACCCCTCCCACCTGCAAACTCCTCCAACTGCCCCCTGAATATCCAAATCTTTCCCTAGTTCCAAGTCCAGCCTATCAGGAGCTCTCCACCAGACCCTGAACTGGGTCCTTCCTCCCAGCTCTGCTTTTGCCCACTGCCCTTGTCTCCTTGTCTTCATGTCTGCGATTTTCAACCTTTTTGATCTCATGGCACACATAAACTAATTACTAAAATTCTGCCCATCTGACAAAAAATAAGTATAATTTTGATTCATTCACACCAAATGTTATTGTTGTGTTGGCTCTAGTTGGATTTTTTTTATTTGACAGTCGAAGATAAAAGAGGTCAGTGGCCTGACTGAGTAGTCAGGTACTACATGTTTTAAAAATTCTTGTGGCACACCAGTGTGTTGTGGTGCACCAGTTGAAAATCACTGCTCAATATTCCTAGACTATGCTTAGCATTGTTCTTTTCAGTACTTGCCATTCAAGGTGTGTTTGTTAAATTAACACATGAAATTTGAAAGGCCCTAGAGGAACTTCTGTAGATACCCTATGACAGCAGTGAGAAGTGATAGCTGAGAATGGAGGAGAAGACTATAAAAACCCAAACTCAGGACTATAAAATTCTGCATATATATACAGTCTCACTGACTGAAGTAAATAAGTGTTGATAGGGGCCAATAATGACCAATCTTAAATGCTAGGCTAAGAAAAAGTTAAATATGAAATCCTAAAATATAATGACATATTAGAATCTGAAAAATAGTTTAATGCTAGAAGAGAGGAATTCAAAGCATTCAACAGCATTAAACTCTTTCATGCAGTTACTAACTTTAGGAACTGCCATGAAACTCATTTATTGGTATATATTTCATTGCTTTCCTAGATAATCTGTAATAACTAGTGGATATTCAAAATAGTTTCTAATTAGTTTTAAATGGGTTTGTAAGTTATGAATGATTTGCACTTTAAGATGTCCTCATTTTGGAGGAAGAAAGACCTTCCATTTTCTTTTCCGTTTTATCAACAGAATGGTTCTTCCATGACAGTGGTTCTGGTGGTTGTGATTAGTTTTAGTAACAATAACAGTGTCTACCTTCCTTCTTTCCTTCTTTCCTTTTTTCCTTCCTTCCTTCCTTCCTTTCCTTTTTTAAACAGCATTCCTCTTTCATGACAATACTTGGACAGGAGTGATATGGTAGGAAAATCAAACAGGTTTCATCCTGCCCTTATTCATTGGTAGTGATCGTAATGTTAAACAGTAGCAACTCCTCCTTTTAGTGACTTGAATTATACCTAAAACTATTCTGAGTCAGCCTGGCACTCAAGGAATTGAGCTGCAATCATTTCTTCTAACATACACACTGACACTTACAAATCCTAAAAGTGTGTGTGCACACACACAGCAAAGGTGGTAACGATGGTAACTCTACAGAGGTGACACATGTTAATTAAGTTGATTATAATGATCTTGACACAGTGTATACATATATCAAAATGCTAAGTTCTGTACCTTAAGTATATGCAATGTTTTATGTCAGTAATGTTTAATAAAGCTTTTTTTTAAAAACAAGTGTGTATGTTGCAGGAGGTGAGGGTAAGGCCAAGTTTACTATGACATTTTCACCACGTGGCCTGTAGGGCACTGGTGATCTGGAACCTGCTGTCCTTCCAGAACGGCACTGCTCTCTCCATTGCTGCACTCCAGCCAGGCTGGTCTCCTGTCACTTCTTAAACACGCCACACCCTTTCCTGCCTGATGGGCCTTCTTACTTGCTGTCGTTTCTGCCTGGAATAGTCCACTCTCCCCATCAGGTCCTCCTTCAAATGGTGCCTCAAAGACCCTTTCCACCCTTTCCCTGACTGTGCCCTCAGTGACTGTTTTCAACCTTGTTTGATAGCAATAACCACTCTGTAGTTATCTCTTTTGTCTACTTACTTTATTTTTATAATCTTGAATTTTTCTATTGTCATCCCTAATGGAATATAGACTCTTGGAAGGCAAGCAGGTACACTGTTTCTGGGTACACAGCAGGTGTTCAATAAATGTTGCATGAATGAGCGGGAAATTTCACCATAATCATAAGCTTTTCTGAATGTGTGCTTTTGTTTTTCTCTAACTGTGAGGTACAAAAGAGGAGTGTCTGTTTTCCCCAGGAGCTTAGTAGAAAGTCATAGCTGCTGTGTGTTCTTCTGCTAACATGTTGCTCTAGATTCTAGCAGCAGCTGTGTAGTTCGATAAGCTTGGAGGATTCCTTTAGTAGCAGACACAACACACTGACACTTGGCTAAAGCAAGGCAGAACAGCTAGTTATGGATGGCTCCCAACCAGAGAGGGCCTCCAGGCAGGGCCATCCAGGGTTACACCTGGGACCAGGCCACCACCAAGCTGTAACCCTAGGGGGGACCTTATGTATGAGAATGGGGAGCTAAGTTTCATGAGCTCAGTATAGTCTGGCAAATTTAAATTTTTAAAAAGATTTTATTTATTCGTTTTTAGAGATAAGAGGGAGGGAGGGAGGAAGAGAGAGAGAGAAGCATCAATCATTTGCCTCTCATACATGCCCTAACTGGGGATGGACTGCAACTCAGGTGTGTGCCTGACTGTGAACCAAACCAGGGATCCTTTGTGGGGTGACGCTCAACCAACTGACCCACACATGTCTGGGCAGGTTGGGCTAATTTGAAAATATTTCCTTGAGCTGGGGGCTGAGGAGTTGTCGCTAGTCATGTGGTACCAGCTCCAGGGCCATGAGGGCTGTGCCTAGTGACTTGGAGTGGGAGAGACCTCTAAGGAAAGGGGCCGGGGTGCAGACTGCCTCAGCAGTCTTTTTTAAGGGAACTGCCTGGCCTCTAGCCAGGGCCTCAAAACTGAGTCTCAGCAGCATTTAAAAGAAAAACTTTATTTTACTGTGCTCTTCATGTGTATACACTGTAGGTATCAGTATCAAAACCCATATACATTTACTTTGTACCAGATGTTTAGAGAAATGGCATTATGGAAATACTTGTGTTTGCATTAGTTTTGTGCATCTAAGCATTCCCTATTTGGTAGTTTAGCAAACTACCCTTTAGAAATGAAATTTACATTTTCCTATTATTTTGACCATATGTGTTAATTAACGCAAATGAAATGATATTTCTCTCTTTCTTCTTTCCCCCACTGTGTATATACGTGCAAAACACATGAACAAAGAAGGTGGCTCAGTGCTTCTGACTCTGCCCTTTTAGAAAGTGGATGTGGAACTAGTAACCATAAAAGTTACTATCTCAAAGTATATAACTCAATAGAATTCATATATGTACCAGTTAATAGGTGTTTTCACCCTTTAGCTATTATAAATAACACTTGAAATCTCCAAAATTCCTTCTCTGGGTTATTGGCATTGAAACTCACCTTACTGTATTTTTTGCCAAGGTATGCTTATAGTAGGAATTTTTTTTTGTAAGAGAAGACATATCTATTGAGTCTTCTTTTTTTTTAAGATTTTATTTATTTATTTTTAGGGAGGGGAGGGAGGGGGAGAGAGAGAGAGAAAGAGAGAGAGAGAGAAACATCAATGTGCAGTTGCTGGGGGTCATGGCCTGCAACCCAGGAATGTACCCTGGCTGGGAATCGAACCTGGGACACTTTGGTTCCCAGCCCACGCTCAATCCACTGAGCTACGCCAGCCAGGTATAGTAGGAATTTTTTAAAAATATGACATCAGGCAAACAAGTACTATAAATTTATATTTAGTTTGGATATTTATGCAAATGTCAGTGTATTCCTAGTAACAAGTGAATTGTTCCAAAATCTAAAGTATTAGTACTACAGAATACATTGTTATGCTCCTCTCATTTGGAATTATTTCAGTAAAATCTGTCATGACTTGTAACAACTTGACCTTTTTTGACTTTAGTGCTTTATTTTCAAGAGCCAAGACATGGGAAATAAATTGTGGTCATTGATGAATAAATTCATAAATAACATGGGATATACACACACACACACACACACACACACACACACATATAATATGTGGAATATCATTAAGCCATAAAAAGAAGGAAATTCTGCATTTTGTGACAACATGGATGGATCTTGAGGGCATTTTGCTAAGTGAGGCAGGCCAGACAGAGAAGGACAAGTACTGCATTATCTCACTTATATGTAGGATCTGAAAAAACAAACTGAACTCATAGATACAGAGAACAGATCAGTGGTGCCAGACAGGGGGGTGTAAGGGAGAAGGTGATCAAGAGGTACAGACTTCCAGCTAGAAGATAAGCAAGTCCTATCACACACTGATGTTTCTCCCTCTCTCTCCCTCCTCCCCTCTATCTAAAAATAAATAAATAAAATCTTAAATAAAAGAAAAAGATAAG